TCTTTAGGAAAGACAATGTTTCTATAAAGAACACTTTGTATGAATAAAGGGCTCTTAGCTTCATGAAAGTGTTATTCAGATTGATGAAGAATGTGCTACATATGGCTATATATAGCACCAAAGAGCATTGTGCTATTGTTAAGATATAAGCTTGCAACAATAGAAGAACCCTTTTGGGTACTATAAAGAACCATACACAACATATTACTGTGTAATTATTTGATGGTAAGTACCAAGACAGTTTAACTAAGTTATAGGTTCTAGATATTACTCTGATAAAAGACTCATACTGAAACATCTCAATTATTAGGGGCAATAAGGTGGTAATTACAAACATACACTAAATTTCACTATAATTTCATAGTTAAGCAGAAAAGTAAATCAGAAACACCTCAGCATAGCGAGTGAGGTATATGGAGTATTATGACAGACCAAAGAAAAAACAAGCAGTAAGAAACCAGTAGAACCACAGTAAGAACCACTGCTTTCTGTTACAGCCCAGAGTCAGTTTAGTTTACAGATAATAAACAGATAAATACTGGATAAGACCGTACTTTATTAATCTACAATATTTTTCACCATTTAACTACCAGCTATTTTACCCAAATATTATATGACAAACATATTAGAAAAAGGTGAAGTAAATATCACAGGCTGAATACAGCTGGATTTTTTTCTCAGAACCTTGCAGTTGTTATGCACCAAGGGGTTCACCCTGAGCAAGAATCAAACTCACAACCCTTGTGTTAGTAGTTGGGAGCGGTAGGGGATGAACGGCCTGGCAAACAATAGAGGATGGCCTCGAGCACAGGGCAACTGAGGAGCGGGGGGTAATGCAACTCAGGAAAATAAAACAAAAGAGACTAAGAGCTGGAAAAAAACAAATATGACAAGCCCCCCCCCCATGTCTAGATCAGAAGCATCAACCTCTACTATAAACGGTATGGTTGGGTTGGGGAGTCGCAGTATCAAAACAGAGGTCAAAAGGAAAGTCTTCTGGGATTCCATGGTCCACAGAAAACACTCTGTGCCCTTCTTGGTTAGGGTGGTTAGTGGGGTGGCTACCATGCTAAAATTTCATATGAACCTATGGAAAAAGCTGGCAAAGCCCAAAAAGCTTTGAAATAGACAAACTGACCTGGGTTAAGGCCACTTAGTGATGGCCTGAATTTTCAGTGGGTGTGGATGGAAGATGGACTTCTCCAGCATCCCATAGAGGTCATTCTCAAGTAAAAGCTGGAGTATCCAGCGAATGTGAACTACATGCTCATCTACAGAATGACTGTAGATGAGGATGTCATCAAGATAGCTGAACACGTAGTGATCAAGGGCTTCATGGAGGACCTTGTTTATAAAATGTTGGAAGACAGCTGGAGCATTCATCAACCCGAATGGCATTACAAGGTACTCATAATGGCCACGGGGCGTGATGAACACTGTCTTCCACTCGTCTCCCTCGTGAACTCAAATTAGATTATAAGCACTGCGCAGGTCCAACTTAGTGAAGATGGATGTCTGCTGCAGTGCCTCATAGGCCGAGGTTATCAGAGGCAGAAAGGAAGTCTCCTGTAATCTATGCAGAGTCGAAGGCTATCGTCCTTCCTCCCTACCAAGAGAAACCCTTCTCCTGTTGGAGAGGAGGAGGGGCAAATAAAGCCCAGAGCTAGTGCCTCCTTGATATACTCTTCCATGGCTGCTTTCTCAGGCCCCAAAATGGAAAATAGCTTTCCCCAAGAAAGAGTCATGCCAGACAGGAGATTGATTGCACAGTCATATGATCTGTGTGGAGGCAATATCTGGGCACTGCCTTTACTAAACACCTCTGCTAAGTCATAGTACTCAGCAGGGACTTTGGTCGGGTCAGGGCTGGTAGAGGAAACAGACAGGGTTGGGACTGGTGCAGGAACCTCAATGTAAGAGCCCTTAGGGCTTTTACATTCTCAGTGGCCAGAGTACAGAACTCAATAGTGTAATTCACCACTGAGCGCTTGCTCTCCCTAAGATGAAAGAGACAGGACCCAAGCACTCCTCCACAGACTGGATGAAAGTGTGACGCATAGCTACCATTAACAGTTCTGAGAAGGAACATGTGGTATGGTCATTCTCCCAACCCAGGGTCGCCCAGGGCCTGATCGGTAAGCAGTAAGATGAAGACCACTACTTCATTTATTGAGGAATCTCAAGGGCTGTTGTTCAAATGCTAATTTGCATTGTAGGAGGAATCCCCTCCAATGCCCAGGTTCACCATTATAATGCTTAGGAGTGAGTAGGATAGGTTCAGCTCTATAGCTAGGTGGTTGGGCTGATGAAACCTCAGGAGGGGGAGCTATGGCCGGTGTTTCCTATGACTGGGCTTGAACAAGCCCCAGCTAAGCCCTGCAGCTGGTTCAATACTTGCTGCAGGACTTGTTCATGGCTACCAATAGCCACATCCTGATTGGCTAGAGTGCTTCGTAACTGCTTCTGCTGAGATTGCTCTGCTGAGTCCATTTTGCTTTTACACACCAGGGGGTTCGCCCTGAGCGAGAAATGAACACACAACCCTTGTGTTAGTAGTCAGGAGTGCTAAGGGACAAACCACCTGGTGAGCAGTAGAGGTTGGCCTCAAGCGCAGAACAACTGAGGAGCCGGGGGAAATGCAATTCAGAAAAATAACAATGAAAGAGACTAAGAGCTGGGGAAAAACAAATTAGACAAGGAGTGAAGTAAAGGAGGCAAAAGCAAAAAATAAGGAAAGTGACTGGGGATCAAACCCTTAATCACCATGTTGCCAGACCAGCGTACTATGCACATGCTACCAAAGGGGATAATGGGTGTGCAAACTTAAAGGCTTACAAGGATGAACGAAACTAAGAACCCTCAAGACTGAACTCAAAAATTCCCTTCTTTAATTTCTGTCGACTCTCCCTAAACACAGAGATCGAGGAATACTCATCCATCCATCCATCATCTAAACCGCTTATCCTTCTGGGTCGCAGTGGGGTGCTGGAGCCTATCCCAGCTGTCATTGGGCGGAAGGCAGGATACACCCTGGACAGGTCGCCAGTCCATCGCAGGGCAGACAGACAGACATACACATTCACACACACACACCTAGGGGCAATTTAGCATGTCCAATCAGCCTGACTGCATGTTTTTGGACTGTGGGAGGAAACCGGAGTATCCGGAGGAAACCCACGCAGACACGGGGAGAACAGGCAAACTCCACACAGAAATGACCCTGGTCACCTGGCTGGGAATCGAACCCAGGCCATTCTTGCTGTGAGGCAACAGCGCTACCCACTGCGCCACCGTGCCGCCCCTGGAATACTCATGAGATTCTTTATAATTATGCTGGAGAACGACTAGAGAAATGTAAAGACTCAAAACTGACAGGTACCAGGATTAGCACCTGAGTCAGAGCAACGTGCTCGTAGCAGAGTCAACTCAAGACTGAGAGCCGAGTGATGTGTGAGCACCCCTTAAGTAGGGTGCCCACAGCTGCTATGGTTCAGCCCTAAATATTAATTCCCAGCTCTCCTGCCCCTCCTAGTGGCCGGAGGAGGCCTAGCAGGTTGCCTGGATGTTACAGCAGTTCAAGCAGCCTTACTAGCTAATTTTACTGCTACAGGTGAGGTCCTGAACAAAATATTCCAAGGCCTGTCTTACTAGCTATTAAAGTGTTAGCATTTTTCATGAATCCAAACGGGGAGAAAATCAATAATAATAAAAAAAAAATGCCTTTACTAACCTTTTATTTTTGCACAGTAATAAGCCACAGAAAGAGCCACCATCGGAATTCTTGTATTTTTAGCCCACAGATGTGCTAGGCTAGGGGTCGGCAACCCAAATGTTAAGAAGAGCCATTTTGTCCTTTCAACAAAAATCAAACCACCTTGGGAGCCATTTTACCATCCTAGCTGTAAATATGTCTCAGTAGTGTTAATGTACTAGTATAGACTAACAAATTTAATATAAATGAAAAAGCAGACTTTGCTTTTAGACTTTGCTTTAAGCTTCAGCTCAGCTATAGCTGGTTTTCTTGCATCTCCAGCAGGAAAAAGAAAAAGTGGAATAGTTTTTTGTAAAATGTCTCTCAGCGTTTGGTTTTGATGAGACTGAAGTTGCTTCTCATTCACCAGCTTCTTGTTTAAATTTTTCCCTGTTCCACCTTAAATGGTGCCTCAGGCACCACAATGTAACCATTGCACCATTTAAGGTGGAATGGGAAAAATTCTGGCAAATAAGAAGCTTTGCAACTTTTTAGTGTTTGACAGTTTTTTTTTATTGCAGATTAAACGTATCTGAAAACCAGCTGAGTGCTTAGAAATGCAAATAAGTCCATTTAGCTCCAAATTATAGATGTTCATCTTAAATCTCTCTCTTTGCCGTTTCGTTAGCTACTAGCTAGGCGAGACTGTTGTCTGTGTTACTATGGTGACCAGCAGTCTGTGCTGATCTTCAGGGTTAAACGGTGAATTAGCAGTTCTACATTAACTCCAGAGTTTAAGACCATTTATTGTTAAACTGTGTTGAACGATCAGCAGAGCTTTATTTTACTGTAAAGGAGGATTATTTTATTTTTACCTACAAATCTAATTCAGCTGTGGAGCCACAACAGGGCAGTAAAAGAGAGGCATGTTGCTGCCCCTTGAGTTCATCTAACAATTTCTGAAAAGATACTTAAACTGACAAGTTTTGATATAAAAATTCTGTTATCTCAAATGATGGCATAGCTATATTATATATGTATATATATAAATAACAAACTACGCATAGTTAGCCTAGTTTTAAAGGTTTGTTTACATGTTGACATTTTTATATCACTAAACATTTTAGGAAAGAAGGGAAAATATCCCAGTTCAAATACTACATGATCAGATTTGCTCCAAAACACTGAGCAACAATGTTAGTAAAAGGCAGTCATCTTGTTTGACGCTGGCATGCTGTAAACTCAGAATGTAAAAATTTGTTCACCACAAATGTTGATGTGATACAGTTTGGAGTGTGGAATGCTGGGATATGTAGTGTTAGTAATATTTAATTATGTGTAAACATAAATAGAGGTGTTGGATTATCAGTTACAGAAATTTCACACGTGTAATTTATTTTAATGTTATCTCACACTAAATATTTCACTGTAGAGTTAATCATGGTGGAATACACAGTTGAAGTACACAGTACAACTGTCTTCACCCTAGAGGAGATCTCCATCAGGCTCATTGGGACGAACGGTGAGAGTGAACCTCAGATTCTCCACACTTTCTCACTTTCATCGGTAAGTTTTAAAGTCTTATGTCTAAAGAAAAACATGCATCTGCATTTTTGTTTTATTTTTACTTTTCTGCATCATTTAAACGTGTCATTTGAAATTGTGTGAAAATTTCATGATGAATAAACCAATAAAAATGCTCCAAAATAGCCTGGCATTGAGAGTAAAAAAGTGAGACTCACTGCCTCTTACTGAGCCACTGACTGCCCGACTGACTGTCTAATACCGAAGACTTGCCTGAGACAAACAGCAGGTGGTGCTTCACACCGTTAAATGTAACCCTTATACTTTCCCCAACACATTAACACATTAATTGAATCACATTATGGATATCATATAAAAAAAATGACCCCATAACTGCTATAATAACACAGCTGCTAGGACATGTACATCATTTAAAATCATTTATCAAGGCAGTAAAACACAGTATATAATTAACATAAATGCAAATAAACATAAATACAGTAAAAAGTAATGAGTAAGAACATAGTTCCATATTTCTCTTGGACACCTCCAGCCATCACATGGATTTATTAAATTCCATCACTAACACCTGTTTTAACATATTAAAAAGTATTGATTAGATAAACCAGGTATCGGATAATAACTACAAATAATACAGAGCTTCCTTGAGGAAAGAGTGCATGGGTAAATCATCACACTGACACACACGGTCAGAGACATAAATGGTCAGAGGGAGAAACTCTCTCCCACAGAAACCACTTTTCTCAGCTGCTTGAAACACCTTGTTGGAATATCAGCGCTTTTCCTTTGTTACAAGATAATAAAATCTCATAACACAGTCCTTACTGCCCACCTACCAGTAAGCTTGGCATGCCCTCACACAAGAAGTAAAAACTTCCTACTCTGGAAGGTCCAGCTCCAGCCTAGCTTGCAAAAGTGGATCGGTTTTACCAGCTTGTTCTACCCGACTTTCAGGATCGGATTCTGGCTCAAACTGACACGGCAGAACTGACACCGTTGCAAGAACAGTCACAGCGGTATGAGGGGGCGGAACCTGTAGCAGGACGCTGCTCTGCGGTTAAACAATCAGAACAGAATGGGCGAGCTAACCAATCAGAGCACACTGAGCTCATTGGGATGTGGGGCTTAAAGACACAGGAGCTCTAAAAGAGCATTTCAGACAGAGGGTGAATAGAGATGTACAGTATGAAAAAAAGAATGTGTTTCAAACAATGAAGCATGCAAATCTATTCTAGACCCCAAAAATATAACTACAGACATTGAAATGAACACAACAGGTCCTCTTTAATGGTATTTGTATCACTGAAACTATAGCATGTTGTGCCAACAGGTATATACATCCAATGTTTCCTGTACAAAAAGTGTTGGTACCCTCCTGCTAGTTGAATTGAAAGCCAAGCCGAGCGGATTCAAGTATGTCTTCCAGGAGTGGTTCTGTGCCAAACTCGTGGTGACCACACCTGAAGGTGAGAAAGTCCACTTCCCATGTTACCAGTGGCTGAACAGCAAAAAGCCAGTTGTGAGCCTCAGGAATGACAAAGGTTGGTACAATTTCTAATCCATGACTGATGTATCACAATTTCCATAAAACAGAAGTTTTATAAATTAGAGCAAATCATTTTAAGTAATCCAGATTAAAGCACATACAGTGTGCAAATCAAATCACATTTTGTTGATTAATTTTTAAATTACATTTTCTGTGTAGCAACACTTAGAAACGAGGAAACAAACGCCGCACTTTTACGCCAAAGGTACCAGGAGCTTGCAGTGATGCAGCGAGACTTCAAGTAAGTAAATATAATGGTGGTTTAAGGCAGGGCTGCTAGACTGTGCTCCTTCCAGGTAGAGGTCTACGCAGGACTGTTTGTTCATCCCGCTTCCGCCTGCTCCTGCAGAAAATCGGAATCATTTGTCCTGCTCTCACCTGCTACCGAAATGTTTTGGCCTGCACATGCCCATTTGCAAGATTTCTCTTCACCCATGTTTCATCCTGCTCCCGTGCACAACAGTGAAAATTAGTCCCACGCTGCAAGATATTGAGTTGGGTCACACTGGTCCAGTCCTGTGGGAGTGCAGACCGATTAGCATCTTCTTTCAAGACTCTGAATTTAACTCAGGCTTGCCTAATTGCAGTCTCCTCTAAGAGTATTGGAACAGCAAAACTAGTTCTTTTGTATTTGCTACACACTGAAGACGTTTGGTTTTGGGATCCAATATGAACATGAGATGATAGATCAGAATTTCAGATGTTAATTCCTGAAATTTAATCTAGATGTGGTAAACAATTCAAAACATAGCACTGTTGATGTCAGACCACCCAATTTTTAGGTGAACAAAAGTGTAGGAACAGATAGTTAAAGTAAATTCTGCTTAAACTTTGGTTGCATATTCCTTGCTTATAATAACTGCATCGAGCTGATGACCTACTGACATCACCAAACTGTTGTATTCTTCTTTTGTGATGGTTTTCCAGCTTTTAACTACAGATTCTTTCAGTTGCTATTTGTTTTGGAGGGTTTCAGTCTCCTCTTCAGGGGATGAAATACTGCTCAGTTGGGTTAAGTCTTTTGTTGTGTTGGCTTGCTGCATGATGATGTTCCTCTCAATTCTCAAAGTGGATAGATTTCTCTGTAAATTGGCAGACAGAATCTTTCTTCATTCAGCTGCTACCATCAAGAGTTACATTATCTATAAACATTAATGGCCCCATTCCAAAAGTAGCCATGCACGCCCAAGCCATGACACTACCTCCACCATGCTTGACTAATGAGCTTGTATGTTTGGGATCATCAGTAAATCCTGTCTTTCTCCACGCTTTGGGACTTTGTGGCTCATCAAATTCCAATCTGGTCTGCTGACTCTTACTGCTGATGAATGTTATGGCCTATATTTCTGCTTTTGAAGTCTTCTTCCAACAGTGGATTGTGATACCTTAATCTCTGCCCTGTGGAGGCCGTTGGTGGTGTCAGTGACTGTTGTTTTTAGGTTTTTCTTTACAGCTCTCACAGTGCTGTTGTTTTCCCTGGCTGACTTTTTCGTTCTGTGTAATATTCTGCTGTTGGGTGTTTGGGGCCTGAAAAATGAGATCTAAAGTCACTGCTTGGCTGGGTAATTTACGTGAACTCAAATCCATGTCAAATAACATCTTGTATTCCTGTGTTTGGGGCCTGAAGAATGACATTTCCTTCTAATGTGTACAAGTCATATTGAGAAATTACAACTTGACCATATCTGTTCTGCAGATGGAAGAAATATCACCATAAGTTACCTTATATTATTGATGCTGAAACACCATCTGATCTGCCTCATGAGGCCAGGTTCTCTTTCACCAAAAACATAGAGATGAAATTCAACGCACTGGCAGTGTAAGTTCCACATCATTAGTGATCAATAATCTGAGGCTATTAATGAATCATGTACAATGTTTTGATATTCTGTTTCTCAGACTGGCGGAGTTGAAGGTTCAAAGCTTTATGGTCGGCTCGGAGTCATGGGAGTCACTAGAACAACTTCATTCATTCCTCTGGTACCCGACACCTAAAGGTATTTCTCTCAAAAGTTAGAAATGCTGAACTAATGGCTGTAAGAGGTCCAGCATGTTCTCATATATGTGTTCTCATAGAATATGTCAGGCAGCACTGGAAGTCTGATAAATTCTTTGGCTATCAGTTCCTGAATGGACTGAACCCTCTGTTGATTGAGCGTTGCTCCAAGCTGCCCCACAACTTCCCAGTCACGGATGACATGGTCAAGTCGTCTTTGGGACGACGCCATTTAGACAGTGAAATGAAGGTAGAGTGCTGATCCAAATTAATACACTTGACCAGCGTTCTCTCTTAGGCATGCTGTGATTCTCATCTCTGTTCTATCAGGAAGGGAACATCTTCCTCTGTGACTATAAAAGACTGAGCGGGTTTGAAGGAAATATGATCAACGATAGAAGGCAGAGTCTGACCGCTCCTCTCTGCTTACTCTATAGCACGCCTAAGGGGAACCTAATTCCCTTAGCGATTCAGGTAAGTCTGGTGTAGTTTTCTTAAAGAATGATTCAGAAAGATTTCACCTTGAAGCCCCTTTATAACTTAAAAACTCAACAGAGAAACCAAACAGAGCTCCGACCACATGATTCTAGTACAGACGGGTTGAGCCCTCTTGGTTGGCATGAATAATAATTGGTTGGCTTGAGATCTATGAGATTCATTGCTCTTGAGCACCTCCTCTGGTGCAGTATCACCACCTGTTTTTCTACATAGTAACTCCGACCCGTCAGCCATCACCACAGTGATGGAAATATCACCAATAAAATACTGATTATCTAGACTCCAGGCAGGCCAGTTTAGCACCCAGACTCTTTTACTAGTGAGCCGTGCTGTTGTAATACATGCAGAATGTGGTTTGATATTCTCTTGTTGAAATAATCAAGGCCTTCCCTGAAAAAGACGTCGTCTGGATGGCAGCATATGTTGCCAAAACCTGTAAACATTGTTCCACATTAATGGTGCCTTCTCAGATGTGCCCATCACCCATGCCATGTGCACTAATGCCCCCCAATACCATCATGAATACTGGCTTTTGAACTGTGCACTGATAACAAACTGAGTGGTCTTTAGCCCAGGGGACACAGTGTCAATGATTTCTAAAAAGAATTTCAACACAGGACCACAGGACAATTTTCAACTTCGCCCCAGTCTATCTTAAATCATCTTGGGCCCAGAGAAGGCGGCAGTGTTTCTGGATCCTGTTTATATATTGTTCAGGCCTGAGGGCCTGAAGATCATGGCCTGCCAATACTGGTTTTCAGCCTTGTCCCTTATATACAGAGATTTCTTCGGATTCTTTGGAGGCTTTTAATGATATTATGATGAATAATGGTAAAGTCCCCACGTTTGCTATTTTTATGTTCAGAAACAATATTTTTGAACTGTTGCAGTTTTTGTCCTTGCAGTCTTTCACAGAGTGGTGAACCCCTCCTGATCTTTACCTCTGAAAGACTCAACCTCTCTAGGATGCTTTTTTTATACCCAATCATGTTACAGAGGTCTTGACAATTAACCACAGTTTTTTTTTTTTAGCACTACACAACTTTGTTTTTGAAATGTGTTGCTGGCATGAGATTCAAAATGGGCATATATTTTACAAAAAATAATAAAGTAAAAATTATTATGATTTGCACATCATTGCATTCTGTTTTTATTTACATTTTGCACAGCATCCCAACTTTTTTGGAAACGGGGCTGTAGATTAAATCAGTGTCTGGGATATCAACCCTTTACAGTTCAGCTGTTAAACATGTTCCCTGCAGTTGTACCAGGAGCCCAGCGAGGAGAATCCCATCTTTCTTCCCACTGACTCCAAATGGGATTGGCTCCTGGCGAAGACTTTTGTGAGGAGCGCGGAATTCCATGAACACGAGCTGAACTTCCATCTGCTGCGAACACACCTGCTGGCTGAGGTTTTCTCTCTTGCAACACTGCGCAACCTGCCTTCAGCCCATCCACTGTTCAAGGTGAGCGCGTCACTAATGTTTGTGCCAGGTTTCTGTAAAAGTCTGTAAGAATGGAAGTTGTCCTCCTAATGCAGTAAGATTTGCAGCTTTGCAGTGCATATAGCTACTTCAAATTTACACTTATAATGTCTGACATTGTACTTATTAATGAGAACTAAAAAGTATGTAGAGCATTTGATTGACATGACAGTTACAGTATAATTTCAAAAGTATATGAACATCCCTCTTAATTATTGAGTTCAGGTCTTTCAGCGGTAATGCTTTCTTTTACAGTCCCCTAAGTTCGCCAAAGTGTTAGGTAATTATTTTAGGTGACAAGATGGTAAGTAGCAGAGTAGTCTAAATGAATTATACTGAAATGTCTCACAGGTTCTAGGTATAACCCAGCTAAGGGTAAGGTATAAATTCCAAAGTACTGGGTAATTATTTTAAGTAATAAGATGGTAAGTACCAGGATAGTCTAAATAAATTATGTGAAAAGAACTAAAGAGCAAGGTGTACATTCTTGTACAATATTGTACACTGTAATGTACAGGAACTATTGTGTCAAAATACAGAGTTGTCAAAAGGTTTTAATAAACAGGTATTACTAATGTGACGAATCCTGTTTTCTTTTACAGTCTGTTTACAGTTGCATAACAAGTGGCAGCTTTTCTGACCTTTGTGATAAGAACCCAGTAAAACTATAGAAAGAGTCCCTGCTTTCTTTTACAGTTCAGATTCAGTTTTGTATCTAGGTAAGACAGACACATAGTATTTAAGACTCTACAGATTTGAGTGACCTGAGCTCCTACTCAGATCCTGTTTATTCTTTTGAAGTTCCAGGTAAATACATTATAACACACAGATACATTCCCTCTAATATTGATAATCTAGTACCCATGTGTCAAACACAAGGCCCACATGCCTGATCTAGAACCTGTGAGACGTTTCATAGTAATTCATTTAGACTATCCTGGTGCTTAATATTTTCTCACCTAAAATAATTACCTAGTTCTTTGGAGTTTATACTTCACACTTACCTGGGTAATACCTAGAACCTGTGAGACATTTCAGTATAATTAATTTAGACTATCCTGCTACTTACCATCTTGTCACCTAAAATAATTACCAAGTACTTTGGAGTTTGTACCCCACACTTACTTGGTTAATACCTAGAACTTAGGGGACTGTAAAAGAAAGTGTTACCCTTTCAGCCACACCCATTGCTAACAGGCATATAAAATCAAGCACATTTCCAAGCAGCCTCCATAGACAAACACTGGCAGTAGAATGGGTCACACTGAAGAGCTCAGTGACTTTGGCACAAGTCAGTTTGTGACATTTCTAAACTTCTAGATCTGCCCCATCAACTGGTGCTATTATTGTGAAATGGAAGCATCTGGGAGCAACAACAGCTCAGCCACAAAGCAGCAGTCATTTAGTGGGGCCACCAAGTGCTAAAGCGTGTAGCATGTAAAAATTGCATATCCTCTGTTGCACCACTCACTAGAGAGTTCCAAACTGCATCTTAAAGTAACATCAGCACAAGCACTGTGTGTTGATATGAGTTTCCATGGCTGAGCAGCTGCACATAAACCTAAGATCACTATGCGCAATGCCAAGTGTCGGCTGGAGGGGTGTAAAGCGCCGCCACTGGACTCTGGAGCAGTGGAAATGTGTTCTCTGGAGTGATGAATCAGCTTCACTATCTGTCAGTCTGATGATGAATCTGGGTTTGGCGGATGTCAGGAGAACGTTACCTACCAGAATGCAGAGCCAACAGTAAAGTTTGGTGGAGGAGGGATGATGGGCTGGATAATGTTTTTTCAGGGTTTGGGTCTCTCAGTTCCAGTGAAGGGTGATGTTGATGCTACAGCACAAAGACATTTTACACAATTATATACTTCCAGCTTTGTGGAACAGTTTGGGGAAGAGCCTTTCCTGGTCCAGCGTGACTGAGCCCCTGAGCACAAAGCAGCTCCATAAAGGCATGGAGTGACCAGTTTGGTGTGGAGGAACTCCAGTGGCACATCACAGAGCCCTGACCTCAACCCCACTGAACATCTTTGGGATGAACTAGAATGGAGATTGTGAGCCAGACCCTCTCGCCCAACATCAGTGTCTGACCCCACAAATGCTCTTTAGACTGAATGGACAAAAACTCCCCACAGACACTCTCCAAAATCTTGTGGGTAGCTTCCCAGAAGAGTGGAGGCTGTTATAGCTGCAAAGAGGGGGAAATCAATATGGATGCCCATGATTTTGAAATGGGACAAGCTCACATAGGTGTGATGGTGAAATGTCCACATACATTTGGCCATATGATGTATTTTCCTATAACAAAGTCTGCTCTTGTCATTTTGTCATAGGTAGGGGAAGGATGAATAATGTGGTTGTGATCATTTCCGAGTGTTGAGAAGTGTTCATGACTGATAACTGACAGTAACTGACCTTTGTTATCTCTTTATGCAGTTGAGAGAACATCAGAACATGAGGTTCAGAACATGAACATGAGAACTCACATAACTTATGGAAATGACAAGCTAACACTGATTAACCCCATCAAACCCATATACAAAGCTAGTCCTCACTGTTGTGATTACAGTGGCATTTGATGGTGTAGTTGATGGTATATCGCTGACACTTCCACAGGTCGAATAATTATATCATTTTTATGCTTTTAGCTCCTGCAATGTGTATGCGGATGCAGTATTTGAAGTAATTCTAGATGTCCGGATACGTTATCGTGAGTGATAATGAACAACCAGGACTCACAGATAACTTATTGATTTGGTATTGATTCCGATCAAACACTTTTTCTTGATATCTTGATTTGGAAGTCATACTGGCATTCACTGTTTGTCTCACATTATACTGAAGGAACGTCAACAACATGGTGGCTGGACAATTTTTCCAGGTTTTGCAAATGCTGTCTATTCATAAGCAAGCAAACATTGTACTCGTGCAAATTGCAGTCTCTCAATATAATAGATGTTACCCCTGGTTGGGAAGAGTTCACATAACAAGCAATCATGTTGAGGGTGAAGGAGCTTAATAAAGTTCTCAGAGAGAACATTAAGATTAAGTGACCTTTATTGGTCACACAATCTAACCTATCCGTGCAGTGAAACACCACATACACACTAGTGAACACACACACACTAGGGGGCAGTGAGCACACTTGCCTGGAGTGGTGGGCAGCCCTATCCGCAGCGCCCGGGGAGCAGTTGGGGGTTGGGTGTCTTGCTCAAGGGCCCTTCAGTCATTTACTCTCGGCTCAGGGGATCGAACCGGTGACCTTGTGGTTGCAAGGCTGGTTCCCTAACTTCCAGCCCATGGAAAACTAATGGAAAAAGCTACAGATCATAAACAAAGACCCTAAACATCTCTTTCACTACAATCTGTTCAATAAATGGTTAAATAATTATTTTGTGGAACCACAACTAATCTGTGCACCTCTTTGGGGGTCGAATAATGATAAGGAAGACAAGAGCGAAGCCAACAGTGACTCAAAAAGAGTTGCAGGACCTGAAAGCAGCAGGAACAACTGTTACACAGAGAACAATAAGCAATCCTCTCTGTTCCTACACCTCACACTAAACTTCTCTACTAAAAAAGAAGGGTAGAGATGCCGTCTAAAAATTGGAAACAAGTATTTAGACAGTTTAGAAATTTGGAACAAAGTGTTGAGCATCTAATCCCAAGAACACTCACAGTGAAGTACGAAGGCGGGAGCATCATGATACGGGGACATCATCAAACATAGACAAAATTACTCTAGACTGTTTTTTAAAAAAGTTGAAAGTTCTCACTTTTTTACCAAATATAGAAAAAACTAGGTTTAACTACAGTGCACCACTAACCTGGAACAAACTGCTTAGTAGTCTTAAAACCAACATTGTTTGTTTTAGTTATTTTTAACTTTTAATTTCTAATTACTTTTCTTTGGTACGTATTTGTATTTTAATTGAGTTATTTTTCCATATTATCCATCTATAGTTTATTATTTTATTCTTATTTGTTTTGATTTATCTTCATTTTCTGTGCCTAGTAATCGAAGCTTAAAGGAAAATGGAAAAATAAATAAATAAACTGTTTTATCTGCACTTCTTTGGGTTTGAATACAGAAATTGATCAGATTGCAATGATTTCCTGCACTGTTCTGCTAAAGTCCACTTTTATTTTTACTTTAGTTTGATTTGTCCTTCACTTCTCCAAGAGTTCATCAAACAAACAAGTTGAGAGTATGTCTAAATGGTATTGAAATTGAGAGTCGGCTATGTAACACTTGCTTTGATTGGAATTATAGATGATGCTTTTCTGTATGTTTTAATATGCACGAATAATTCAGTACATTAATGCTGATGCTGCTTCTCACTTTCAGCTCCTGATGCCCCACACTCGCTACACTTTCCACATTAACATCATGGCCAGACATTTGTTGATCTCAGAAGATGGGATTTTCAAGAGGGTATACAAATCCATTAAAAATATAATCTGAATAATATTGTAGTGCTCGTTAAGACATGCTCATGTTGTTTGTTTCTACCACTCAGCACACTGCCATAGGGCGTGATGACGCGGTCAACACTTTTCTGCCGAGGGCAGTCTCCTCCCTGACCTACAGCTCTCTCTGTCTGCCGGACAATATCAAGGAGAGAGGTCTGGAGAATATCCCCAACTACTACTACAGAGACGATGGCCTGAAGTTCTGGGACATCATCCACAAGTACAGTAAATAAGATGAAATGAGATTAAATAAAAGCACTCCGATTTCTATTCTGCCAAGGTAGCTTTTGTGGTGCAAAGTCCTACAAGATCTACAAAATAATTTGCAGGTGGGATTAATTTCGAGGCACCGCAGTTGTAGCAGGTAAACAGACAGAAGGTTGCGGGGTTAATCAAGTATGCTACTTCTTTTGAACTAAAAAATAAGTGAGTATGCTTTCAGTATACTTTTATGTCCTTATCAGAGATATACTAAACAAAATTATACTGAGGTATACTTGGCTTATACTTACAAGTATACAGAAAATACACTTGAGCTTTTGATTGAGATGTACTTAAGAAAAGTATTAGTGAGTATAAAGTAACAGTGTATAAGGTGGCACAGTGGGTAGCACTGTCCCCTAACAGGACGAAGATCCCAGGTTCGATTCCCTGGCCGGGTCACCAGGGTTCTTTCTTTGTGGAGTTTGCATGTTCTTTCCATGTCTGTGTGGGTTTCCTCCAACAGTCCAAAGACATGTAGTCAGGCCAATGGATATATATAATTTTACTTGTGGAATTCTTCAAAGTATAAACTAAAAAGTGGGCCAATTTAGTCCCAAGAAGTACTGAAATAGTACACTTACAAGTAAATTACTAGTACATTGATATTAATATATTTATTACATAAAGTATACTTGGGAAATATACTTGAACTTTACTTAAGTTTACACAATAAAATATACTTATTTCTGTAAGGGCGGGCTTGAGAGGAGTTCAAAAAGCAACAAATCATAAAACTAGCCAAACTTCACTAAATGTTTCAGTAGTGACTTTTGGTACAGAGAATTTAAGCTTATTTTGAGCAGAACTCAAAAACTCTAGCCAGCACATGACCAGCAAACACAGCTTTGAATAGCTGTCACACACTAAATTCTAAAATACTAAATTCTAACACTAAAAAGTTTACTTAAATGCTTAAAATATGATGATTCTTAATGTTCCACACTGATTTTCAGACTTTGCAACACATTTACTTCAAAACAATGAGATCTAACTGCTCACCATGTGGCCCTGAGGGACAGGGATGCAGCCTCACTTCCTGCTCTAAATGGAGGGGAGGGGCTAAAATAAGGCTCCACTCTGTGTTTCGGTAGTGACATGAAAACACAGGACAGCAATATTTTAAATAAACTTTTTTTAATTTAAAAATGAAACCTATGATAAATCTAAATCAAAGGAAAATTAAAGCAATATTTTCACAAGTGTAAATTTAGTGGTTAGGGTTCAGGACAAAAACCTCCCAATAGAAGAACCCTATAAATGATGATTTTGTATATTTAGCTTATTACTGTCTCTATTAATGCACTGAATTTAAATAGATCAGAACACAATCTAAAGTCTGATACATATGCAATATACATTCAATGTCTGGAACATGCAGCCACTGTCGCTCTCACTGGATGTCTGTGATGAAACCCTACATTACTGAATTACTGAAAGTAAGAAATACAAGAGGTGATGTGATCTGCTTTGTTCAGGTGGTTTAGAATTAGGCCTAAAATATGCAAATATCTGTTGTGTGATGTCACTCATGTATGTTTTAGGTTCGTGAGAGGAGTGTTGACTTGTTACTATAAAACTGATGGCGACGTGAAAGAAGACCCTGAGTTACAGAAATGGATCAGTGACATATTTGAGTACGGATTCCTGAAGAAAGACGAGACTGGTATGTTTTATTTTTCAGCAGTGTGACTGCACCTGACAGAAAATGTAAAATACAGATTTTCATGCTTTGTAGTTCTACAATTACAGACTGTAGTCCATCTGTTTCTCTGCATACTTTGTTGGGTCCTGACCACTGAAGAACAGGGTAAAAGGGGGCTAACAAAGTATCAGAGAAACAGATGGACTACAGTCTGTAACTGTAGAACTACAAAGTGCACCTATATAGTAAGTGGAGCTGATAAAATGGACAATGAGCATAGAAACAAGGAGGGGGTCAGAATGTTATGCCTGATCGGTATATGTTCTCAATGTTTGCATGACCTATTAATCAAAACTCATTCAAACAATTGGTAACTAATCGTGCAGTGATTAGTAGATCAGTCAGTAATATATGCACAGGGTATTTAAGAGCAAACAAAGTGAGCTTTAACCTGAAGAAAGAATTCATACTATTAACTTATCCCAAACTTCTCTGTCTGCACTGCTTCAGGAATCCCCCGCTCTTTCAGCAAAGTGGAAGAGGTTGTCAAGTTCGTCACCATGGTGATCTTCACAGTGTCTGCTCAACACGCTGCCGCCAACAACAGCCAGGTTTTCGGTCAAATCCAGATTCTTTCTCAGTCAGTTTTGTCTAAATGTGCTCTGTAAGCTGATCTGGATTCTCTCTTTGCTGGTTCAGTTTGACTTTGGAGGATGGATGCCCAACCTGCCCACCTCCCTCAGACTCCCTCCCCCCAAGAAGAAAGGAGAATCCACAGAGACGACCTTCTTGCAAACTCTTCCTGATGTCACCACCACCATTCACGGACTGGCCGTTCTGTTCCTGCTGAGCAAGAAATCTTTTGACCATGTGAGTATAAATAAATCTTAACATAGGGCAGTTTTAAAGTCCGTTAAAGGTAAATTGAGAGATTTGTTTAGAAACACATTATACATGTTCGAAAATAACTGCTGTAAACATGTATAATGACTGAACTATGGAGTATCGGATTGTGGAGTTAGACCTTAAACTGTTTTTCATCATTTTTGTGTTCAGGATTTTTTTTGGGCAGGGACTGAAATAATGTCTTGATGATGCACTGGAGCCATTTAGCATGACCCCTCCCCTAACAGTATAATGGCAAAGAAAAGGAATACCAAATCAAGTCTTATTTAGCACCAATCCAGCGGCGGCCTCTTCTCACGCTGGGGCTGAATCTCCAACGACTCCCTGCTCCCTACATAGTGAACTATGTAGGAGTTTAAATACAGGATCCTGCAGCCGAACAATGAATAATACAGCTAAGAAATAGTCGTTTGGGACACATTCATACTCGATAAATGATGCATTAGCATCAGTGCTTCTCCCAGCCTAAGTTTATTTTGCTAGGTTATGCTAGTCAGTAATAGATGTTGCTAACGTGCATAAATGAGAGAAAAATATGATCATTCCATCGCAGACTGAGAGGAATGAGGTTGGTTCTCAGGTAGGTCAGTGCCCTCTGGCATCAGATTGGTATCTGGCTCTGTTGGCTCAAACATGTTTGGCTGTACAGTCCAATAAAGCTGTGTATTTGCATCAGCTGAAGTGCTATTAGTGGCTTCGTTTCAATCCAAGAGAGGCTTTGCTGCCCAACCTAGCAAGCTAATGGATATGCTAACGTTAGTACGAAGCTGAAGTTGGCATCCTATTCGCCAGCTTCTTGTTCAAATTGTCCTGCTCCGTCAGCTTTGTATTCGAATTTTCTCATTCCACCTTAAATGGTGCAGTGGTTATATTCTGGCGAATATGAAAGGCGCAGTCAGCATAGTCACATGTTTATTTCTGCTTTACACAGACTTTAAGGAGGTCTTTTCTGACTGACATAACAAAAACTAAAGGCTTCCTATTCTAAAATTATAACTACCAATGATCTGGTAACTCTTCACAGTTTAATCAACAGCTACATTTGGCTTGTCCTGATTTTCACGGCACTTACATGCTGCAGCGCCACATCGCAGCTGTTTTGTCTTGTTGTTTTGTTTTTGTGTGAGAATGAAGTTAAAATCTAATTATAAAATAACTGGAATAACTGGTAAAAATGGTGGTATAATCGAAGTAATACACTGGAGGTGGGGTTATACTTCAACCTTCGGCCAATAACTCACTCAATTTTATTTATGATATATGCCAGCTTTCATACTGATAATGTTGTTCATGTTGTTGTTTTGTATCCTCTGTAAAGAGGAAATAATCTCTGATGGCTCTGTGTTTCTGTGTGTCCTGCAGTATCCGCTGGGGGTCTATACAGAGGATCTGTTCGGTGATGACGAAGCCCGTCGGCACATTTCAGAATTTCAAGAAGACCTCCGCAAACTTACCAGTGAGATTGACGCCAGGAACAGCGATCTCAAAATGCCATACGATTACTTGAAGCCAGCCAATGTGGATAACAGTGTTGCCCTTTAGAGTGAACAGAGGAGGGCAGTAACGAGTTACTCTGGCACAGTTACACTTTAATACAATCAGGATTTTGCATGCCAGCCTAATAAATCAATTGATTTTTGATCTAATAGTTTTTTTGTAAAAAATAAATGTAGATGAAAATTAGTGAATATGGGGAAAGAGAAGGCAAAATAAATATTGTGTAAAAGGTGGTGGGTGCTCTATCCTTTCCTATGATTTTCCAATATAGATGCTGTTCTATCCAATATAAGTATAACAACAAACAAGCAATAAAATCCATGAACGTCGCTGTACAGTCTTGTGGTTTCTTATAACAGCTCCCAGAATGTGAACCCGTGCTACTGATTTCTACCATATATGAAATAAAACAAATGTTATTTGCTGTGAACTTTCAACCATCTAACTGCAGTTGGCCAGACTCAAGGGTGTGAAAAAGTTTGTGCACCCTTTGGAATTGGAATTCTGTCTGAGTTGCTCCTAAAATGTCACCCTCAGGTACGTCATGGTGAGGAAATAATAGATGGTTTATTTGACAAATAACACACCACATTTTACAAAACCAGAGTTTAATTGAAGAACAATGGCTTAAATAATCAACGTAACTGCTGGGAAAAAGTCTATGATCCTCTAGAATAAGGAGCTCCTGAAAAGCAGGTAACTGGGGTCACCTGTTCTGTTCAGTCCAGGTGGGTTTGACCTGTACATTTTTATTGTAGACAAACAAACAAACAAAATGTATCGGTAACACTTTTTATGAATGTCACCTTTGTAAGCATCTATAAACACATGCATTCATAAGGCATTATAAACATGGCTATAAATATTTATAAATATGCATTATATACTATAGCCATGCTTATTGTGCATTATGAATTGTTAACATAATACATTATAAGTACTGATCATAACAAATTATAAGAGCTCATAAGTCGTATTTGTCCGCTCTAAGTAAAGTGAAGCGTACTGTACTAAAGCCTCCTCCAGTGTTCAGAGTGAGGCTTCAAGTTGAAGTATTTACTGAAGGATTTACTGAAACACTAAAACATTCACAGTAAAGCACATTACAGGCTTCAAATGTCAGATTTTAAAGTAGTGCTGCATCAGTGTTTTACCCAATGTGGGACAGGTAATGTACACCACCATTAGCTTGGTATTTGTCTTTACGCTCTCCAAGCTGGGACTGACTTCTTTGGCACTGACATTATAACATGTTATCAACACTACTTATAATGCATTATATTAACAATTCATAATGTATAATAAACATGGATATCAAGTGTAATCCAGTGTAGTTCATTTTTATAAATGTTTATAATCATGTTTATAATGCAGTATGAAGGCATTATAACATGTTACAAATGTGTTTATAGATGCTTACAAACGTGACATTCATAGAAAGTGTTACCGATGTATCTTTTGTCTTTGTTTTTTTCCCAGAATTTAAAAATGTCAGCTGCCCTTTAAAAGGTGTTAAAATTTCATGATGAACTTACATTAAAGGTTATGCCTGTTTTTCTCTTCTCCTGTAAACTTACTGTTTTGGAGAGATATAAGGTTTTTGTTACAACAGTGACAGCATGCACAGACATGTACAGTCTTAAAACAGATGGTCTTTAAGGGTTCTTTAGTAAAGAAAATGGTTCTATATAGAACAATTAAAGCCCAAAAGCTTTTGGATTGATACAGAATGTGTTGTATATGATACTATATATCACCAAAAAAGGGTTCTTCTATTGTAACAATACATCATAACAATAAAAGAACGCTTTTAGGCACTGCACAGAAACATTTTCAAAAAGGTTCTATAGAGAACCATCTACAACACATTCTCCATCCATCAGAAGGGCCCTAGTCCTCCATTAGCATGGAAAAGGTTCTATATAGAACTTCTGTCTTTACTAAAAAAAACATTGAAGAATCATCTTTGAGTGTGAATTCAAAAAGATTCTTTGTAGAACCATAAGCAACACATTCTCCATCAATCTGAAGAACCCGTTTACCATGTAAAGAACCCTTTAATCATGATAAGGGTTCTTTGAATTTTCATGGTTCTTTATAGAACACTTTTCTTTACTAAAAAGCTCTTGAAGAACCATCATTTTTAAGCGTATAGCTTAATTATACATAATGGTGTAAATTGTAAGATATATACATGTCAGAAATATATAATCATATAATATACAAATATACTTCCTTTGCATGTGACATTGGTTAAACTGAGGTTTTGATTGGTCAAAAATATGTTGAATGTAGAATATAGTTAGCCAGTTTGTGTTCATATGTGTTTCAGTTCATTTATTTGTCAGATTTTAGTACTGTAAGTAAGCTCAAGTAGTCATTTGGGTGGGCCAGTGATAAAATGGGTGGTCCTAGCCTCGCTGTGTCCAATCACAGTGCTTCCACAGACTCTGGGACAAAGTCTGATGGACAGATGAGACAAGGCCTGAGAGCAGACTGGCTCTAGACTGTCTGCTGTGAGTGGAGCTCCATAAATGGGCAGGAAGGCGGTCTGATTTACTCAGAGCAGAAGGGGAAGAGCAAACGACAGTAGAGCTCATCACTGAGAGAGCTGATCTGGACGGAGATGAGAAGATGGAGTGAGAAATGAAGACGAGTGATTGAGGAGTGGATCAGAGAATCGGAACTGTGGGTTTTATTGAGGGAAAGAATTCCCACCGGCTCAGTCTACATCCACATTTGGTGTTTGTCTCAATTGGACGCTCTATTCCTCCCCTGTCCTAAAGTTCTACCTGTGCGTTCCTCCAGGTGTGAGATGTTCAGGTAATTTCATGCCAAATGCTCTTTGAAAGGACCAGATCAGACCAGTGAGTATCAGAATTCAAATTACAATCTCTACTTTTATTAAGTACTAATCGCTTTTTGATGAACACTGTTTTAAAGTAAAGGTTCCTTAACCGTTCTTGGCTTGGATGTGAGGTTCCAGGAAAAGCCTTGAATTGGAGAACCTTTATAATAAGGTTATTTCAATTTGAAGTTCTTCATATCTCACAAAAATGGTTCCTTAAAGCAGTGCTTCTCAAACCAGTTGTCAGATGGTCCACATTTTTGCTCCAACCCAACTTACAGATCATGGCGCTAGAGAGAAAAACGTGGACCATCTGTGGGTCCCAGAGGACCGGTTTGAGAGCTACAGGCATACAGAACCATCCACAAAAGCGGTTCTTCTACAGCACTGCTCCAAAGAACACTTCACTCATAAAATAGGCAGTGCCAAAATGTCTTCTAAGGACAATGCCATTGCAGAACCACGTCTTCTTCCTTAATGAACTTCTCAGTATGAGAACCATTTGTGCAAGTGTGAAGAACCTTTTACAAAAAATTAAAAGAACCTCTCTATAATGTAAAGGTTCCAGGAAGAACCCTGAAATGATATAGAATGTTTTACATTTTTACTGAAAAATATTCTTCACACGTCTTACTTTCAGACAAGGTTCTTTAAGGAACCAATAGTGGTTCTTCTGCAACATAGCTTAAACAAACTTGCACCTCTATTTGAAGAAGGTAGAAAGAATTGTTCTGGAGGGAATGTACAAGAAAATATAACACAGAAAATGCTTTAATAACTAAGTAAAGAAATGAATATGTAAATGTAAACTATATAAATACATACAGATATCAGGAAATGGCTAAAGTTGCACTGTGAAGTCTGTGAATAAGTGGAGAGTGTGTGCAGATAGTGAATGTTCTCTCGAGCTCTGTGTTGATGTCAGCTAAATTTAGCCCAGACAATGGTCAGAGCAGCAGTGGTGTAGGATTATAGGAGACCACTCGGCTATTTATAGCTGTGGGTTAAAGGCGGTGGCCTGCTGAGCGCTGGATGAACATTTGATAACTGACTAATGCTGACAGTAGATCCTGACACTGAGCCTGTCGTCTCCGGTATGAACGCAGTTTTACCACCAACCGTTTTATCAGAATCACAACAGTGAAAACTGTATTAGTTGAAGGAAAATCCGAAAATGAAAACTGATCTTTTTGACCTTGTTAGATCGTCTTCCTGCTTGTATTAAGCAGGATTCATCATGTCACATATCACCAATTTAATCAATCCTTAATAAAGTTTAACAAAGTTTATCGATCCCTTATTTCATTTTATCAAGCCTTCATCAAATTAAAATCAATAAAATCAATCCTTAATAAAGATAAATGAATGTTATCAAAATTTGGTGAACTTACATTTTAAAATGAATTTATATTTACAAATGAAGTTACAATGTTATCAATCTTTAATTCTGTTAAATCTGTTTCATTGACATTTTAATTGACATTTCAATCAATCTTCATGAAGTTTAATCAGTTTAATCAATCCTTGATAAAATTGTCTGTAATTAATTGATATGTTTAATGAATCATCTATTAAGTTAATGCAGCTACATTTACTCAATCCTTCATTAAGTTAAATCAGTTTAGTCAAATCCATAATGAAGTTAAATCTGTTTCAAAACACCTCATTATGTTTAGTCAATCCTTTGTCAAGTCAAATTAGTTTAGTCAGTCCATAATAAAGTCAAATGTGTTAAAAATCGTTTGAGGTTTATTCAAATCTTCATTAAGTTAAACCAGTTTAGTCCATCCTTAATAAAGTTGAATCTGTTTGACTGTTACTACATTTAGTCAATCATTTGTTATGTTAACTCAGTTTAATTCCTCATTAAGGTAAATCAGTTTAGTCAACCCTCAATAATGTTCAATTGGTTTAGTCAGTCCATTCTTATGCTTAATCAATTCCTCATTAAGTTGAATCAGTTTACTCAATTCTTAATGAAGTTAAATTGGTTTAAACAGTCCTTTCTTATGCTTAATCAATCCTTCATTAAGTTAAATCAGTTTATTCTTTCCTTTGTTATGAAAACCTGTGTTCTTCTAACCAATGTATTCATAGCTTCACTGAAAAAGTGGCCTCCTAAAATATCTGGAGTAGAGTTTAAGATAACAGGACAGAGAACACAGCTCAGTGCAGATATTCTGAGTGTTGCTTTCTCTTGGTTTTGTTTTAGGCTGGGCTGCTTTCTCTTTAACATACGTCTCTTTGGTTGGTCAGCCCTGGTCAGTTCCTCTGCTGACCATGGGGAACTACAGCTCTGCCCTGTACGCTGGTAAGAAAAACCCTCTCACTCTCACTCTTTATTGTTTTCTCCTCTCTTTCTCACTTTATCACCTTCTATACAGTACCAGTCAAAAATCTGGACACATTCATAGCCTTTTTAAAAAAGATGGTTCTTCAAGGGTTCTTTCGTAAATACAATGGTTCTATATAGAACATGAACAATCAAGGGAACATTTGCATACTTAAAGGGTTCTTCACATGGTGAAATGATTCAGAATGAGTTGTATATGGTTCTATATAGATCGTTTTTTAAAAAGGGTTCTACAACACCACTTCCACTGCCGATGGTCAATATTGGATGCTCATGATCTTCGGACCCTCAGGCGGCACCGCATTAAAAACAGGCATGATTCTGTACTGGAAATCACTGCCTGGGATCAGGAACACTTCCAGAAATCACTGTTTGTGAACACAGTTCGTCACTGCATCCACAAATGCAAGTTAAAGCTGATCATGCAAAGAAGAAGCCGTATGTCAACATGATCCAGAAACGCTGCCGTCTTCTCTGGGCCAAAGCTCATTTAAAATGGACTGAGGCAAAATGGAAAACTTTTCTGTGGTCAGATGAATCAAGATTTGAAATTCTTTTTGGAAACCACAGATGCCAGGTTTACAGTTCTAAAGCCTACATCTCTGATGGTCTGGGGTTGCATTAGTGCCTATGGTGTGGGCAGCTTACATGTCTGGAAAGGCACCATCAATGCTGAACAGTACATAGAGGTTTTAGAACAACATATTCTCCCATCCAGACAGCGTCTCTTTCAGGGAAGGCCTTGACTATTTCAGCAAGACAATGACAAACCACATACTGCATCCATCACAACAGCACGGCTTCACAGAAGAAGAGTACAGGTGCTGAACTGACCAGCCTGCAGTCCAGACCTTTCACCAATAGAAAACATTTCATCATGAAAAGAAAAATCTGGCAAAGAAGACCTAAAGAAGACCCAGCACTGTTGAACAGCTAGAATCCAACATCAGACAAAAATGGGACAACATTCCTCTCCCAAAACTCCAGTAATTGGTCTCCTCACTTCCCAGATGTTTACAGTTGTTAAAAGAAGAGGGGATGCTACACAGTGGTAGACTCGGCCCTGTCCCAACTTTTTTGGAATTGGGGTTGTGTATAGCGGGTTCTTCAAAAGCAGAACCTTTTTTGGTGATTATAGAACCATTTATAACAAATTCTCCATCAATCTGAAGAACATTTCACCATGCAGAGAACCGTTTAAGCCATGCAGGGAACCGTTTAAGCAGGCAAATGTTTCTTTGAGCGCTCATGGTTCTGTACAAACCTGTGAAAAAGCATCTCTTTGAAGAGGTAGAAGAGCTTTCCTTATTTTCAATTCGCTATTTTAGTAATTTTAGAACAAGAATTTTTAGAGGACATCAAACCAGTGTTCAGATTACACTCTTGCTTTCAGAGGGTCTCCAAGACGTAAACTGGGTTGGTCTGTTATTATGCAAATACTCATCAAATTATAATGTCTATAATATTATATTATTAAACTTTAGATTTTATTGTTTTTAAAGGAGCTTAAGTCTCTCTCTGGGAGGCTAAGCTCCTCCCTGTAACATGAACAATGAATCAAACTACTGAAAAGCACTATGAGAAATATGGATTCTTCAGTGGGGCCCTTTTGGTGTTGTTGGGTGCCAAAAAGGACATTTTGGAAATGAATAAATACAAAAGCATAACTTGTCTATACTTGATTAAAAGACTATCTATACATTTCTGGGTAACCTCTCAAGCATTTGAGCTAAAGGCTGTAGATCAAAATGTCTTTAGAATTTCAAAAAAATTCATTAAATTAAGTGGATTCAAGCATTTGAGGACACTGTATTGCAGATGGTTGTTATGGTTCGTTTGTGTAACAGAGTTGACTGTATAAACAATTTTATAAAATCACACAGTGATGAAAAAGAGAAGATCAAACATTTTTTCTACAATAATATTATGCATTGCAGTAATTAATTTATATTGTATCTTTGTTCTTCTCTTCTCGCCTCAAAGAGGTTGAAGATTTTAAAGCGATCGTCTCGTCCCCAGAGAACGCGACCCCTGACCGGCACGCGCTGGAGGACTCCACCCTAAATAATCATGTCAGTAAGTGGATCCGTTATTCATTACAGTGTGTTCTCACTACGTTCTCACTGTGCTCTCGCCGTGTTCTCGCCGTGTTCTCACTGCGTTCGTAAGGAAAAGAGTCAGAATTCATGTTTTACAGTCCTGTGCAGAAGTCAAAATGGTATAAGTTCAGGTTTTTCATTTTTCAGGAGTTTTTGTGAGGAGATTCAATATAAGATAATCCACTGGCTTAATGAAGGAAATAAGCGAAAAACTTTGAGTTCAAAATTGAACCTGGGGCTCCCAACAACCACCTGGAAGACCTGGTAGACCCCAAAACTGCCCCCATCAGATAAACAGCACTTAAAGATAACATCTTTGAGAGAGAGGAGAAAATCAAGCTGCTTCAGATCTGAAAACATCCACAGGTGTTTCTGTGCTTGTTGTACCCAATTAAAATCATCATATTTTCCTTTAAAACACAATAAAATTATTTAATGTGCATTTTACTAGTGACATTTCTTAATGTTCCACACTGATTTTCAGATTTTGGGACGTATTTCCCTTAAAACAACGAGATCTGCAGTCTCTCGTCCTGATCTAAAATCTAGGGGTGTGGCTACAATAAGGCTCCGCCTTCAAGCGAAAACTTTGGTAGTTGACATGAAAACCTGAGACAACATTTTTAAGTAAATTCATGTTAATTCATGATCAATCTAGATCGGTTTTCAGTTTTCATAGTGGAAAAAAGTAAGTATTGTTTTCCCAAGTGTAAGTTTAGGGGTTTGGGTTTGGGACAGACCCCTCCCAACAGAAAGGACCCTATAAATGATGATTTTGTATATATTTAGCTCATTATTGTCTCTATTAATGCTTGAGTTTTAAACAGATTGTAATACAATCTGTGTAAATATTTAAGGTCTGAATACTTTATTGTTATTTATTTATTTATGTATTTATTCATTCATTCATTCATTTCTATGGTGGGACCACAGTTTGAACTACTTTGGTAAAATGCTCTGTGTATCACTTATTGCCATTATTTATTACTTATTGCTCTGTATATCCCTCAGTGTCAGTCTGTGTTCTGCAGCATGTAGGGCGGCTGTTCTGGTCAGTGCGGAGCGTTTGTGTCTGAGATGTCCTTGAGTTATATTTAACCCTTCAGTGTTAACGTGTGGAGAATGTGAGCCCACAGACACACACAGGACGTGTTTGGTGTCTGAAGTTCGCTTCTTTAGTTTTAGCGCCGGAGCTACGAGGCTAATGTTGCTAACAAGGAATGTAGCTACTCCGTGTGTGGAGGTGTTCAGTATCTATACTAGTCTATATTATGTGGTTTCTGACTCTGTATGACTCACTGTTACCTATAAACATGGATAATCTGAAGCTCCAGCGGAAAAAGTAAAGACACAAACATGAAACATCAAACATGTCTGGGCTGAATAGCTTCATAGCTAAAATGTATTCAGTGGAGCTAACAAGGAATGTCACCCACAATCTTTGTGTGTCATATAAAGCCTTAAAAATGATTCTTCAAGGTTTTATTTTGTCGAAATAGAACCTTGTATCTCCAAAATAGTAACTTTACAGGAGAAGGAAAAAAACTTACTGTACTTTTAATGTAAGTCAATGGAACCAGAATTTTTTCCAAGTCATTTTGGGCCGTTTCTTTTGGTCCATTCATCATGAAATTTACACACGATGTAAAGAGCAACAGGCATTTTCAAATTATGTCAAAAACTGAAAAACAACAAAAATGGAGAAACAAGGTTTTATCTGACCGCAGCAATACGTAAAGCCGATAGCTATTTTTTTCATATGATGAGAAACCTGTTCTGTGTGGTTCTTTAGAGAACCTGTTAAACTTGGTTATATACAGCACTAAAACTGGATGTTTCAATTCATAAAATCTTTTTTTTTTTCTCTATCAAGATATTAGCCTCATAGCCGCAGCGCTAAAACTAAAGAACCAAATGTCTTTACCAGCTGTCCACATACTTACTAATAACTAAATTTTAGGAAATATTTATTATTATTATACTATACTGAAGAAGAAAACTAAGTTAACTCTTTAAACTCTGACATTCACATACAAATATTTGAGTTATTCACAGGAAGGAACGGAGGTGTGGTCCCACCAGCAGGTCCATGAGTGTTAAATGATTAACAGAAAGTACTGTTTCCCACAGTGTATGAGAACTCTGGCTCCATTATAAAGACTAAAGACGAGCAACTCTGGTAAACACCAGTGAGAAAAAGGCTCACAACATCAATTTATACTTTAAAATGGTATTTCATGTAAATTCTTTCTATAACAATTTAAAACACTGCTAGGAAGACACTCACAGGGCATGTTTTGTGAAAGGTCTTGTGTAATTGACCTCCTATACGCCTCCCGCAGAGACTGTGTAGAAGATTACTAATACATCTCGATTCAACAAAACAAATGTGTCAAACTCTATTTAATTACAATTGAAAATAAATAATAAATATAAATAAATAAACAAACAAACTTAGGTCTTTGTTTACTTTTTTTTAACATAAGCATTTCCTTTTTGGCTGAAATGGTTTTTAATATATAAAGCTGATAAACAATGACAATTTTCATAGCTTTCTCTCCTGATTTTTACCAAGGGTGCCAATGATTCTGGAGGACACTGTGAATGATCTGCAGTAAGAAGTGTAAGCATTAAAACAGAACTTTCTCCTGTGAAAGCTTTCATTTAAGCTGTGCTGAAATTCAGTTTTTTACACAAAGCTTTAAAAAGCAGTGTACATTGGCGACATCTGGTGGACAAATGCATGAACAGCAGCTGTTTTCTTACTGTGTGTATTCTGCTGAACACCGCAGCAGAGTTTTGGGCCAAAACAGTCCAAATCTGTCCATTCTGGTGCTGATTCACTGATCTTGTGTTTTAAAACAAAATAAGCAGTGATTTTAGTTGGTATTTTTGACGCAATGTTTCTAAGCTTCAGTCTTAAGTGTAAAATTATTATTAAATTCTACAGTTCACCAGTTTTTAAAGGATCCGTTTGTGTTGTATTTTATTTTTAGTTATTTTTCCACTTTGTGTGGTTTTATGTGGCAAAAACACTCATAATTCATTTTCCAAACTCTTTTTATCGCTTGATATTAAACAAGCTGTTTTTCTGACTGTGCCTTTAAGAATGATATAAGTAAATGTGCTCTATTCTGATTGGCTGATCTGCATTGTGTCTTGTTCAAAAAGCAGTACAGGTTGCCACGCTGCTTCAGGGTAAATGTGCAGGGCTAAACTGCTGCAGGCTAAATTGGCAGTTTTCTATGATATGAGGCCATTCATTTTCCTTTCATCTGTTTCCTCTGTGCTCTACAGGTGGCGCTGAAGAGCCTGCGGTGTGGAATAAACTGGACATTTCTGTGCTCAAATTTCTCCACAGCTTTCCAGAGCCGTGCAGGGAAAACACAGTAAGACAGAAACCGAACTGCCCTGCCAACCACAGTAACAACTGTGGTCAGTACTCACTGCAGAATTCAGCTGGTAAACTAAGGAAGCCAACAGACTGTCTTAAATCCAGTCCAGTCCAGTCCAGTCCATCTTATTCATTCCATTTCATTCTAGTTCAGTAATGTCCAAACCAGTCCATCTCGTTGAATTCCATTTCATTGCACTCCAGTCTGGTCCAGATCATCTAAGCTTATTCCATTCATATGAAATCCAGCGCAGACAATCTCGTTTCATTCAATTTCATTCCAATCAAGTCCATCTTAGTCCAGTCCGTTTCAGTCTAGTCCAGTCCTAGCCCATCTAAGTCTGGTCCAGACCACTTCGTTTCAGTCCAGCTTAGTCCAGTCCAGTCCAGCCCATCTAAGTCTGGTCCAGTCCACTTCGTTTCAGTCCAGTCCAGTCCAGCCCATCTAAGTCTGGTCCAGTCCACTTCGTTTCAGTCCAGTCCAGTCCAGTCCATCTAAGTCCGGTCCAGACCACTTCGTTTCAGTCCAGTCCAGTCCAGTCCAGCCCATCTAAATCTGGTCCAGACCACTTCGTTTCAGTCCAGTCCAGCTCATCTAAGTTTAGTCCATGCCACTTTGTTTCAGTCCAGTCCAGTCCAGCCCATCTAAATCTGGTCCAGACCACTTCTTTTCAGTTCAGTCTAACCCAGTTGAGTCCATTTCTTTTTAGTCTAGTCCAGACTAGTCCATCTCATTCCATTTCAGTCTAGTCTACTTCTGTCCATTTTTGTCCATATCAGTCCACTCCAGACCACTTCTTCTCAGTCCAGTCCAGTCAATTTCAGTCTAATCCAGTCAGGTCCATCTAAGTACCGTCCACTCGGGTCCATTTCTCTTTAGTCCAGTCCAGTCCAGTCTAATCCATCTCATTCCATTTCAGTCTAGTCTATTTCTGTCCATTCTAGTCCACTCCAGTCCAATCAACAAGCAAACAACCAAAAAGGGCACAAGAAGATAAAAACTGATCTTACCAATTTTCTTGACCTCAAATTCCACAATAAATCCAAATGTTCCATGACTGTTCTGTAAGGCCGCTTTTTGCACGTCCAGTCCAATCCATCTTGTTGCATTCCATTTCATTGCAGTCCATTCTGATCCGACCATCTAAGCTTACTCCAGTTAAGTCCAATCCAGCGCAGACAATCTTGTTTCATTCAGTTTCACTCTAACCAAGTCCATCTAAGTCCATTCCAGTCCATCTCATTCATTCCATTTCACTTTAGGACAACACTTCTTGTAAAAAGCGCTATTTAAATAAATTTCTCTTTGACTTTGAACAAAAACAGGAAAGAAAAACAATAAAGAAAACATGAATCATATTTGGCCATGAAATTCCAAACTAACTTTCCTCCAGCCTTTGTTTTACCCAAGATGGCCGTCAACTCCATTTCCTTTTCCAGGACGTATATTCAATTTAAGAGTCCCAGTTCCTGTTTGAACAGGAAGCAACTTAACAGCAAACACTGAACTTAATAAATGGAAACACGACATGAGAGAAACTCCAGTCACTCCTTACCAGTACAATTAATCACCCAGTTCACACAGATGATAGAAGAGGAACACCCATGCTAACACAGTCTAATTATAACTTGGGTGCATATGTGTGTGTGTGTGTGTGTGTGTGTGTGTGTGTGTGTGTGTGTGTGTGTATGAACCACCACGTCCTAATGTGTGTCCCACAGGTTTTAATATGTGGCTCGCAGGTCCTAAAATGGTCCTATGTGATCCACAGGTTTTAATGCATGGCCAACATATCATAACATGTGGCTCACAGGTCTTAATATGTGTCCCATATATGGTATTAAAATGGTCCTAATATTTGGCCTATTAGGTCCTAATACTGTATGGCCCACAGGACACAATGTGTAGCTCACAGGTCCTACTGTATGCTCTACAGGTTCTCCATAGATCCTAATATGGCCTCTAGGTCCTAATATGGCCTACAGGTTCTAATATGTGTTGCTCAGGTCTTAATATGGCCTACAGGTCCTCACATAAGGCCTACAGGTCCTAATATGACCTACAGGTCCTCATATACGGCCTACACATCCTAATTTGGCCTACAGATCCTCATGTATGGACAACAGGTTCTAATATGGCCTACATGCCTTCATATACGGTCTACAGGTCCTAATATGGCCTACATATCCTCATATACGGCCTACAGGTCCTAATATGGCCTACAGATCCTCATGTATGACAAACAGGTCCTAATATGGCCTACAGATCCTTATGTATGACCAACAGGTCCTAATATGGCCTACAGGTCCTCAAATACGGCCTACAGGTCCTAATATGGCCAATAGGTTCTCATATAAAGCCTACAGGTCCTAATATGGCCTACAGGTCCTCATGTATGGTCAACATGTCCTAATATGGCCTACAGGTCCCATATATGGCCTACAGGTTCTAATATGGCCTACACGTCCTCATTTACGGTCTACAGATCCTTATGTATGACCAACAGGTCCTAATATGGCCTACAGGTCCTAATATGGCCTACAGGTTCTCATATACAGCCGACAGGTCTTAATATGGTCTACAAGTTCTCATATACAGCCTACAGGTCCTAATATGGCCTACAGGTCCTCATATATGTCCTACAGGTCCTTATATACTGCATACAGGTTCTAATATGGCCTACACGTCCTCATATACGGCCTACAGGTTCTAATATGGCCTAAAGGTCCTCATATACAGCCTAGAGGTCCTAATATGGCCTGCAGATCCTAATATATGGCCTACAGGTTCTAATATATGGTCTCCAGGTCTTTATGTATGGCCTACAGGTCCTAATATATGGCCTCCAGATCCTACTGTGTGGCCTACAAGTCCAAATATATGGCCTACATGTACTTATGTATGGCCTACATGTCCTAATATGTGGCCTTCCCAGTCCTTATGTGCAGCCTGCAAGTCCTAATATGTGTTGCTCAGGTCTTAATGTATGGCCTACAGGTCCTAATATGGCCTATATGTCCTAATAAATGGCATACAGGTCCTGAAAAGTGTGACCCATGGGTCCTATTATGTGGCCTGTGGGACCTCATATATGACCTACATGGTCCTTATATATGGTCTATAGGTCCTAATAGGTGGACCTGTAGGTTCTATGTGGCAGTGTCACATCATACCTATTAAAGTCACAACCTGTGAATGGAAAAGCAACATAAAGATATTCTGAGCTGTTGTGTGATATAGGTAAAGGTAAATATTCCTGTTTTCCTCTGTGCTGGTGGTGAACAGGATGTAAAACACATTTCAGCTATTGATCCACAGCTTTTGGATATAAGAAACTCATTTTGAACAAGTAGTAAAATCAGTAATACTAGGACAAAAATTCAAATTAAAATGTAAAAACTCGATTTCTACCATCATGTGCCTTTAGTTTATTCATGAGACGGTCTTAATTGTTCGTTTACAGGAGCCTGATGTTGCGGCGGTTGCTGCGTCTTCTGCAGGTTCATCTGGATCACGCGCGAAACCCAAACTCAAGCCGCACGGCCCGGCCACTCTAGAGCGGCTCAGAGACGAGATACAGGACATGAGAGGAGAACTGGAGGTGCTGAAGAGTCAACACAAGTGAGTGTGCAGATATACTATGCGTCCTAAAGTTTGTGGACTCCAGCGTTTCTCCTGAAATGAAGGTGTTCGTAGTGAGTCTGTGCTGCAGTAACAGCCTCTCCTCTTCTGGGAAGGCTTTACACTAGATGTTGTACTGATGTTGGATGGTAGGTCAATTCTAGTCTTTATAACTTCAGAACAGTTTAAGATACAAACATGATCCACATATTAGGACATCCGGCAGACCCACCCCTAACTAGCAAGCATGAGTCATCGAGCTGTGACGTCAGCATCAGTGAGTAATTCGGCTCGGAAAACCACCTAAAATCCTGATATTATTGCTCTGCTGTTTGGCCTTTATATTCCAACAAAGGGTTAAAACAGCGACATGATTCACACATCAGATCATCATCAGACTCTGCCTCACCATCCAGAGTGATTTCATCCACCTGTGACCGTCCATCAGCCAGAGATCAGCTCCAAAATCACCCAAACCCACTCACTACTGTTATATTACATCTCTGCTTTTAGCCTTCATATTATAAACAAAGGGCTTTCAGTTTACATTGATTTTGAGTATTAAAAACATCTGAAATTAAATATACAACTCAATTTGTAATTAAAAATAAAGGTTGTCTTGCTGTGTATCAGAGTTTTAGCACTCAGCCTGAATCCAAGAGGACAGAAAATCAATAAAAACATATCCACCTTATGCCAATTGTTTATTTTTACTCATAATAACCAACAGAATGAATCACCATCAAAATGATTGCACTTTCAGCTCACAGACACTCCAGACTAACAATTTCTAAAAAGATAACTACAGCTACACTTGTTTTCAAGATCTCTTTAATTAAAAAAAGACAAAATTTTCAGGCGCTTGGAAAATTTTTGATCAAAAATGACCGAAATTCATAAAGATATCAAATTTCTGTTAGCATTTACATGTCAAACAATGGCATATCTGAGCAGCCTAGGATCTCCTGAAAATAACAACATATGGCCTGTGTGACTGTCACACGTAAATACTTTATAATTGTAATTGTAATTCACCCCAAAAATACAGAAAAATTCCATGAAATTTTAGGGTTCTGAAAACTGTTAAAATTTTGATTAATTAGATTTAGATGCAACACAATTCCACAGCAGAAGTGAGACAGTACTTAAAATTAATATTGTCAAATAATTATCATCTTGTAACAGTGTGTGTTGCTTTTCATTGCCCGACTAATTATCTTCCAAAAAATCCCCCAAAAAATTTATTTCGGGTTAAGGACACACCCATAGTGTTGATGTCAGACCAAGGAATAATGCTGAATGACAAATAGTTACATTTGATTGGCTCCTGTCACTCAAAGAGCAATGCAGCATGAAGCTCTGTAATGTTTTCACTTGGTAACAAAACATAATGAAGTATCACCTGTTTTCTGCAATTATAATGGAGCACATACACCAATCAGGCATAACAGTATGACCACCTGTTGTTTCTACACTCATTGTCCATTTTATCAGCTCCACTTACTATATAGGTGCACTTTGTAGTTCTACAGTTACAGACTGTAGTCCATCTGTTTCTCTGATACTTTGTTAGCCCCCTTTTACCCTGTTCTTCAGTGGTCAGGACCCCTTTGGACCCTCGCAGAGCAGGTACTATTTGGGTGGTGGATCATTCTCAGCACTGCAGTAACACTGACGTGGTGGTGGTGTGTTAGTGTGTGTTGTGCTGGTCTGAGTGGATCAGACACAGCAGTGCTGCTGGAGATTTTAAACACCTCAGTGTCACTGCTGGACTGAGAATAGTCCACCAACCAAAAATATCCAGCCAACAGCGACCTGTGGGCAGCGTCCTGTGACCACTGATGAAGGACTAGAGGATGACCAACACAAACTGTGCAGCAGCAGATGAGCTATCGTCTCTGACTTTACATCTACAAGGTGGACCAGCAAGGTAGGAGTGTCAAATAGAGTGGACAGTGAGTGGACACAGTGCTTAAAAACTCCAGCAGCACTGCTGTGTCTGATCCACTTGTACCAGCACAACATACACTAACACACCACCACCACGTCAGTGTTACTGCAGTGCTGAGAATGATCCACCACCCAAATAGTACCTGCTACATAGAGGGTCCATGAGGGTCCTGACCACTGAAGAACAGGGTAAAAGGGGGCTAACAAAGTGTGCAGAGAAACAGATGGACTACAGTCTGTAACTGTAGAACTACAAAGTGCACCTATATAGTAAGTGGAGCTGATAAAATGGACAATGAGCGTAGAAACAAGGAGGTGGTCAGAATGTTATGTCTGACCGGTGTATACAGTACAGGCAGAAAGACACAGATCTCGTTTCTCTGCGTTAAAGCCAGTGTATCGCTCTCTCACCTCTTCATGATCTGGAACTCTGTGTTGCAGGAAAGACCTTAAACTGATGATGACCGAACTGGACGAAGAGAAGAAAATGCGATTGTCGCTGGAGGTGTGTTTACTGTGTGGCTTAAAGCGATAGTTGAGTCAAATATCACCGTTTTACCCCAAACGTAGTCGATCAGACAAGGCATGCACTCAGTAGCAGAAATGCTAATCAATCAGCACTCAGTTGCAATAATGCTAATTAATCAGCACTCAGTTGCAATAATGCTAATCAATCAGCACTCAGTTGCAGAAATGCTAACCAATCAGCACTCAGTAGCAGTAATGCTAAACAATCAGGACTCAGTAGCAGTAATGCTAACCAATCAGCTCTCAGTAGCATTAATGCCAACCAATCAGCACTCAGTAGCAGTAATGCTAACCAATCAGCTCTCAATTGCAGTAATACTAACCAATCAGCACTCAGTAGCAGCAATACTAACCAATCAGCACTCAGTAGCAGTAATGCTAACCAATCAGTGCTCAGTAGCAGTAACGCTAAACAATCAGCACTCAGTGGCAGTAATGCTAAACAATCAGCACTCAGTAGCAGTAATGCTAACCAATCAGCACTCAGTAGCAATAATGCTAAACAATCAGCTCTCAGTAGCAGTAATGCTAACCAATCAGTGCTCAGTAGCAGTAATGCTAAACAATCAGGACTCAGTAGCAGTAATGCTAAACAATCAGCGCTCAGTAGCTGTAATGCTAACCAATCAGCTCTCAGTAGCAGTAATGCCAACCAATCAGCGCTCAGTAGCAGTAATGCTAAACAATCAGGACTCAGTAGCAGTAATGCTAACCAATCAGCTCTCAGTAGCAGTAATGCTAACCAATCAGCGCTCAGTAGCTGTAATGCTAACCAATCAGTACTCAGTAGCAGTAATGCTAAACAATCAGCACTCAGTAGCAGTAACGCTAAACAATCAGCACTCAGTGGCAGTAACGCTAAACAATCAGCACTCAGTAGCAGTAATGCTAACCAATCAGCACTCAGTAGCAATAATGCTAAACAATCAGCTCTCAGTAGCAGTAATGCTAACCAATCAGCTCTCAGTAGCAGTAATGCTAACCAATCAGCGCTCAGTAGCTGTAATGCTAACCAATCAGCGCTCAGTAGCAGTAATGCTAAACAATCAGGACTCAGTAGCAGTAATGCTAACCAATCAGCACTCAGTAGCAATAATGCTAAACAATCAGCTCTCAGTAGCAGTAATGCTAACCAATCAGCTCTCAGTAGCAGTAATGCTAACCAATCAGCGCTCAGTAGCTGTAATGCTAACCAATCAGCGCTCAGTAGCAGTAATGCTAAACAATCAGGACTCAGTAGCAGTAATGCTAACCAATCAGCTCTCAGTAGCAGTAATGCTAACCAATCAGGACTCAGTAGCAGTAATGCTAACCAATCAGCTCTCAGTAGCAGTAATGCTAACCAATCAGCACTCAGTAGCAGTAATGCTAACCAATCAGCTCTCAGTAGCAGTAATGCTAACCAAGCAGCGCTCAATAGCAGTAATGCTAACCAATCAGGACTCAGTAGCAGTAATGCTAACCAAGCAGTGCTCAATAGCAGTAATGCTAACCAATCAGCTCTCAGTAGCAGTAATGCTAACCAATCAGGACTCAGTAGCAGTAATGCTAACCAATCAGCTCTCAGTAGCAGTAATGCTAACCAATCAGCTCTCAGTAGCAGTAATGCTAACCAATCAGCACTCAGTAGCAGTAATGCTAACCAATCAGCTCTCAGTAGCAGTAATGCTAACCAATCAGCGCTCAGTAGCTGTAATGCTAACCAATCAGCACTCAGTAGCAGTAATCCTAACCAATCAGGACTCGGTAGCAGTAATGCGTCTTTTATATAGGGTTCTACACAGCACCAAAAAAAGGTTATTCTATTGTCACAATCTTGACGTCGTAACAGTACCAGAACCCTTTTTGGTGCTATATAGAACCATCGTTCTCCATCAATCTGAAGAAAATTTAATGACGCGAAGAACAGTTTTACGCATGCAAATGGTCCTGTGAGTGTTCAGTGTTCTATAGGACCTACTAAAGAACCCTAGAAGAACCATCTTTTTTTTACGAGTGTAGTGTTTAACAGCAGTCGTCCACCATGCTGACCCCCTGAACCAAGTTCTCTCTGTTCTCTTTTTCAGGTTGAAGTCAATCGTCTTAAGAAACACATGTCTAAATGAGGTGGACAGAACAGACACTGTCACTCAGAGGAAACAGGCCAAACCCTGACTGACCTCAGACCTGCCCGAGTGACAGACACAAAGAGGGGGGCCTTTAAGACGAACTGCGTTTGAAGCTCGCAGAGCCACAGATCAGGGTTCTGCAGCAGATATCGGGTCAAACTCGGCTGTAACCCTGTCTGTGAATGACGACAGCGCTGGTGTTATATGAGCTGCAGTGGATATACGGTATCGGTCAGACGTTTGGACCTGCCTGACTGAATGTTCAGTTTTCATGACCTTAAAGACATTTTGAACTAAAGGCTAATAGGTTCTCTAAGTTCTAGGTATTAACCACGTAACTTTGAGGTACAAATGCTAAAGCACTAGATAGTTGTTTGGAGTAATATGATGGTGAGTTCCAAGACAGTTTGACTAAATCACACTGAAATGTATCAGGTTCTAGATATTAACTGTGTGTGTGTGGAACAGTCTCCACAGCACTGTGTGATTATTTTGTGGTAAAATGATGGAAAGTTCCATGGCATTCTAACTACATTACAGGAAAATGTCTAACAGGTTCTAGATATTAAGCTTAAAGACATTTTAATCTAAAGGCTTATGGGTTCTCTAAGTTCTAGGTATTAGCCATGTAACTTTAAGGTACAAATATTTAAGTACTTGGTAATCATTTTGGGTAATATGATGGTAAGTTCCAGAACAGTTTGACTAAATCACACTGAAATGAAACAGGTTCTAGATATTAACTGAGTAAGTGTGTGATACAGTCTCCACAGCACTGTGTAATTATTTTGTGGTAAAATGATGGTATGTTCCAAGACATTCTAACTAAATTACAGGGAAATGTCTAACAGGTTCTAGATATTAAGCTAATAAATGACATGGCATCAGGTATGTCATAAAAAAGTTTAAATAATATCAAGTAAACAGTGAGAACCCAGTAGAACCACAGTAAGAATCACTGCTTTCTTTTAAAGCCCAGTATAAATAATTACACAGCACTGTGGAAAATCTAGAACCTGTTGAGCATTTCAGTGAAATGTAATTAGATTGACATCATCTTACCTGAAATAATTAGCTAGTAATTTCAAGTTTGTACCACATACTGACATGATTAATATCTAGAACCTGGTGGACATTCCAGTGTAATTTAGTTAGATTGACATCATGTTACCCAAAATAATTATCAAGTACTTTGGAGTTTGTAACTCACACTTACCCAGTTAATATCTAGAACCTGTTGGGCACTTCCATAAAATTTAATTAGATTGACATCATCTCAACCTAAATTATCGTCTAGTTCTTTAAAGTTTGTATGTCACATTTACCCAGTTAAAATCTAGAACTTGTAGCATTTCAATGTAATTTGGCTAGATTTAAATCATTTTTCCCCAAAATATGTATCTAGTACTTTGGAGTTTATACCTCAACGTTACCCAGTTAATATTTAGAACCTGTTGGACATTTCAGTGAATTTTAATAGATTGACATCATCTTACCCTAATATACTGTGTAGTCCGTTGGAGTTTGTACCTCACACGTACCTCATAAATATCTAGAACCTGTTGGGCATTTCGGCATAATTTAAACAAGACGGTAGTCTAACTATGCAAGTATGTGGTACTTACCCAGTTACTATGTAGAACCTGTTGGGAATTTCAGTGAAATTTAATTAAATTGACATTGTTACCCGAAAAAAAATGATTTAGTACTTCAACACCTCATAATTACCTAGTTAATATCTAGAACTTAAAGAACTGTTTAAAGTTGATACTAAGAGAAATCTAAAGAGTGATGTGGCTGCCTGTGTATGAATTTATTTCAATAACTGAAATTGAAAGAATTATTTTTTTAAATGTGCTGGGTTGATTTCTGTGCTCATCTGTCATGATCCTTCCATCCTCTTCAAATGTTCATTCAGAGAGAACGTTTGTCTTCAAACAGTTATGGTGTGTTGTACTGCTTAAATATGTGTGTTGATTGTTAATAATGACAGTTAAAAGTTAATTAAATAAATGAGCTTTTATTTAAAAACAGTGAGGATTACAAAGTGTCTGTACAAGATTTAATAAGTTAAAATAAATACAGAATCCCTCGTTTAATGTTCATAAAAAAGAGAGAGTCAGACTGACGTTCATCACTGTAACTGTTGTGTTTCTACAACAGCATCTCACAGTCCTGCACTAATGTACACCAATCAGGCAGAACATTATTGTGTTTCTGCGCTCGTTGTCCATTTTATCAGCTCCACTTACTATATAGGTGCACTTTGTAGTTCTACAGTTACAGACTGTAGTCCATCTGTTTCTCTGCGTACTCTGTTAGCCCCCTTTTACCCTGTTCTTCAGTGGTCAGGACCCCCATGGACCCTCACAAAGAAGGTACTATTTGGGTGGTGGATCATTCTCAGCACTGCAGTAACACTGACGTGGTGGTGGTGTGTTAGTGTGTGTTGCGCTGGTCTGAGTGGATCAGACACAGCAGTGCTGTTGGAGTTTTTAAACACCTCAGTGTCACTGCTGGACTGAGAATAGTCCACCAACCAAAAATATCCAGCCAACAGCGTCCTGTGGGCAGCATCCTGTGACCACTGATGAAAGACTAGAGGATGACCAACACAAACTGTGCAGCAGCAGATGAGCTATCGTCTCTGACTTTACATCTACAAGGTGGACCAACAACAAAGGTGCGTCTAATAGAGTGGACAGTGAGTGGACACAGTGTTTAAAAACTCCAGCAGCACTGCTGTGTCTGATCCACTCACACCAGCACAACACACACTATCACACCACCACCACGTCAGTGTTACAGCAGTGCTGAGAATGACCCACCACCCAAATAGTACCTGCTCTGTGAGGGTCCATGGGGGTCCATGACCACTGAAGAACAGGGTAAAAGGGGGCTAACAAAGTATCAGAGAAACAGATGGACTACAGTCTGTAACTGTAGAACTACAAAGGTCACCTATATAGTAAGTGGAGCTGATAAAATGGACAATGAGCATAGAAACAAGGAGGTGGTCAGAATGAAATGCTACCTGCACCCTGATAAACTCACCTGCCAAATATAAAGCTGGAGGAAAATAGAAATACAAAGAAAGGTTTATTTACATTAGCTTTAAAGGATCAGGAGTGAATATAAAAGATATAGCTTCAGAATGAATCACAGCCTCCGAACCAGAGGAACAAAAAGTGGAATACTCGGTTTTCCTTCTGAATCCGTGAAGTTTTATGAAGCTCCTCAGTAGCTGAAGAGCTTAGAGTCTCTACAGAAACAGAAACAGAAACTGTCCGTGTTTAGTGTTCCGGTCAGAAGTTGGAGTTCTCACATGGAATCGGCCTGAAGGTCACTTCTTTGTTCTCCAACAGTAGAAGGTCAAAGCGACACACGGGTCTGGAACAGGACAAGAATAAAGAGAACAAGGCCTTAATTTAACAGGGTTCTCATTTATCGAAGTATGCGTAGAACATGTTCTAAATCTGTGAAAATTGAAAATGGAAAACAGGTATTTATGAACTGTGCTATGCTATCAATGATAAACTGTGCCGTCCCAGGCTTAGCCAGGCTTATTTACATAAAGCCACACCCCCAAAGAGCTATATATGGTAAACAACGTCCCCTTAAAAGTCACTAATATGCAAAGTTACCAATCATAAAATGTTATTTCTGTGTGATTTATGAAGCAATTTGCTATGGTGTTGCAACAAAAACATACCCATCAAAAACAAATTGATATGTCTTCCTGCAATACATACTTAATACTACAATAAAAATATCTTGTGAATTTCACAAACGTTTTCTCAATCTTGCAGTAATATGTATTTTTCTGAAACGCTAATTATTGCACTCTGAAGAAAACACAGCTGTTTTGTGCTGGTGCTAACCTACGACAGCATTTTCGGGCCACTGTTAATAAAAATAAAAACAGTAGACTTTGAGAATAAAGTCATAATATTTCAAGAAAAAAGTCGTACTATTTTGAGAATAAAGTGGGCTAATTGTAGGGGGGCTGCCATAACGCGTTGGGGTCTCGGTTGCTGTACTGTAGGGGGGCTGTCATAACGCGTTGGGGTCTCGGTTGCTGTACAGTAGGGGGGCTGCCATAACGCGTTGGGGTCTCGGTTGCTGTACAGTAGGGGGGCTGCCATAACGCGTTGGGGTCTCGGTTGCTGTACTGTAGGGGGGCTGCCATAACGCGTTGGGGTCTCGGTTGCTGTACTGTAGGGGGGCTGCCATAACGCGCTGGGGTCTCGGTTGCTGTACTGTAGGGGGGCTGCCATAACACGTTGGGGTCTCGGTTGCTGTACTGGCGCTGGAGCTCCACTCACTCCTGTCTCTCTGTGGATCATGTTGATCATCATTCTCACTGTCTGTGAAACTTCATACCCTCTTTGAATGGAGGAGATGTAGCCCCCCGATAGCCGTGTAGACGACCCTGCCTGAGATTCTCCTTCAACAACACAGACAGACAGTTTCCTCCGAGTCCGTCTGGCTCTTTATTCTAGATAAACACAGTTTCCTCCGAGTCCGTCTGGCTCTTTATTCTAGATAAACACAGCTTCCTGCTCAGCCGTTTCAGCTGGTTCTTATACTAATAACAGGCTGGTGCTGATGTGCAGGAGAGACAGGGAGACTGAGTGTTTCTTTATGGGTGAATCGATATGAAAGTACAACTCCACCAACTCACCGCCCCTCATTTAACATTTGTTCCCTTCACTTCGCAAAGACTTTGGCCACAATATTGTGATCTTTCCTGGTATTAATGCCACTTTAATGGCATAAATCTACGGCTTTTTTTTCTCTAAATCTTACATTATTCTCGAAATATCATACCTTACGACTTTATTCTCAAAATATTACTTTTTTCCTGAAATATTATGACTTTATACTCGAAGTCTACCATTTTTATTAACAGTGGCCCTAAAACGCCATCGTACTAACCTGCATTTGGCTTGATAAACAAAAATTAGTTTCACATCAAATGGGTCAAACCTGCTGTGCAGGTTTCTCTTTGACTGCACTGGGAAACTGCTCTTCTTTCTGCCAGCCTTGTAACATTGAAGCAACAGTTTTGTGGAAAATGGTCCAACCCATTCTCAAATGTAGTCTAACATCCAAGAGAAGTTTGCTTCTTACAAATACAACGCCATTATGCCAGCTCAGGGGTCGCAACCCAAATGTTAAGAAGAGCCATTTTGTCCTTTCAACAAATATCAGACCAACATTTTATGTCCATTTTACCATCTTGGCTGTAAATATGTCTCAGTATGTGCTGATGTGCTAGTACAGGCTAAAAATATGATATAAATGAAAATGCAGACTTACTTTGCTCTGCTTTAATCTCAGCTATAGCTGCTTTTCTCGCATCTCAGACAGGAAACTTTTCCTCAAAAGCTTCTTGCAAAATGTCGCTCAACGCTCTACTTTTTACGAGGCTGAAGTCGCTTCTCATTCGCCCACTTATAATTCTAATTGTTCCGTTTCACCTTAAATGGTGGAATGTAACTACTGAACCATTTAAGGTGGAATGGGACAAATCAAATGAGAAGCTGGAAAGCGAGAAACTGACTTCAGCCTTGCAACTTTTTAGTCTTTTTAGTGTTGGACAGTTTCTTGTTGCAGATTAAACATATCAGGAATCCAGCTGGAGTGATTATAAACATCAGTCCATTCGTCTCCAAATTATTGATGTTCATCTTAAATCTCTCTCTTTGCTGTTTTGTTAGCTACTAGCTAGGCGAGACTGTTGTCTGTGTTGCTATGGTGACCAGCAGTCTGTGCTGATCTTCAGGGTTAAACGGTGAATTAGCAGTTCTACATTAACTCCAGCGTTTAAGACCATTTATTGTTAAATTGTGTTGAACGATCAGCAGAGTTTTATTTTACTGTAAAGGAGGATTATTTTATTTTTACCTACAAATCTGATTCTGCTGTGGAGCAACAGGGCAGTAAAAGAGCCTCATGGGCTCTGGAGCCACATGTTGCCGACCCCTCTGCTAGCTGATTCAGTGCACAGCTAAATAAGCAGAACCCAAATATGTTTTGGCTGATCAATTTGCATGAAAGGGAAAATTGTGTATGTGTTCAATTTTTCCTCAAGCTTTCTCTTTCTGTTAAACGTCGATGGCATTAAAATGATTGAAGTGCACCCTTACCCCAGTTTGGGCTCCAGGCGGAGAGGAGTGAGGCGTATGCGGAGAACGCGGAGTTTATATCGAGGTCCAAACACGTTCCCTGTTCTGTATTTCAGAGTGATTTTCTCAGCAGGCTGGACATCTCTGTTGAACTGCGCCAGCAGGCTGGTCTCAGTGTACTGCTCAAATTTATAAGGCTTGCTGGGATGGAGAAGAAAAAAAAACACATTCAGACTCTGAGTGAAGGGACACACTGTGCTTACTACTCTTATTGGACTGAGATTAATAAAGAAATGGAAGCTTTTGTCTGTGTATGGCAGTGACATAGCTAGGAGGAGCCTGGGGTGCTGGTTACTGATTGCTAAATAAATTGGAAATGATTTCTTCTATTACCAATGTAAATCTTGCAAAACACACAGTGGTCATGTTAGTCTTAAAATAAATAATAGAATTAGAAAAAGCTCTCCTTTTACTCATTATCTATACAATATTAAAAAGATTAAAAAAAAGATTCATCCAATTTCAAAATGATTTATTTTACTTGTAAATCATTACAGATCAATGCAGTGAACTGTAAATGGTTTAAATGAGCATAAAGTTTATTATGTAATTTTATAAGGTCTCAGTATGAACCTCCTCCAGCTGTACGGACAACATCAACACCATAGTCAAACTCATCCCATACTGGATTGAGCATGTTGGGTGTCGCTGCACTCACGGCTCTTTCAGTGCGATTTCGGAGATCATCCAGTGCTGTTGGGAGTGGCGCATAAACAGAATCCTTAACGTACCCCCCAAAAAAAAGGTTGGAACTGTTGGTACCAATGACGAACACTCTGAGCTGTTGGAGGTTCACTGCCATACTGACAGTCAGAAACTCTATGACCCCCTCTTTCAATTGGTATGTGATTGGTTCCTAGGCACCTCACGGTTGTAAAAATATGGTGCTTTGAAATCGGATCTTTTTGAATCACCCTGTATTATCAATTTTTGGGAGATGCTATGCAAAAGTTACCATTTTCTCTCTGAAGTTACAGTTCTGTTTTTCGATAAATAATTTAAAAATATTTGAGCGAGATTAATATTTGTATAAAAAAACCTACACATCTCTGCTACAAATAAAATCAGAAAAAAAAATTTGGAGCACCTACCATTTATTAACAACTCAGTCAAAAGTGATGCGGTGCAAATTTTTAAAGGAAAAAAATTCTGCAACCTTATGTCAAGTGGGTCTGAAGCCCAACAAAAATTCTTCTATTTTATTGGAGTTTAGCAAAAGTGTGCAACTGTATCATCTAGCTGAGCTGACATGTATCTGAGTGTCATTAGCATAAAACTGAAAGGCGACATTGTGTTTACAGACTATGTACATATCTTGGAGGCGGTAAATAAAGTGAACTGTAAGTGCCTTAAAACGGAGCTTTGTGGGACACCATATTGCACCGTTCAGATTTCAGAAAACTTTCCATTTACACTAATAAAATAAAAGTGGTCTGTCGATTTGTCTGTCTAAACCAGCCATGTTTTCAAGCTGGTCCAATAAAATGTCATGTTTTGATGAAGCCTCTCCACTGTGAGTGTTTCAGAAAGATTTAGTCAGACTCACTGATCGATTTCAGCCATTGTCTCCTGGTCTCCTTTTCGTAAAGTGATGCTTATGTAGCCCCATCGTGCTTCTGAGTTCCAGGTCAAAATATCAACCTTGTAACCAGTTTCTGTAAAAATAAAAAATAAAAGCTCAGTGATAAATTGCTGTAATCTTGAATCGAGCATGATGAGATGGGAAAGCCCATTGATTAAGTGTTGATATTTTGTTATAAATGATTGTGTATAAACAGTGTAAAGTATGGTTGATTTGCCTCTCACTTTATTCAGAACATCTCATTTACCAGCTTTCTCTATGATCAAAACTAGACATCTGGGTATAGCCTATCAGAATAAAGTGAGTGGGAAGGGGTGGAGCTTATTCTATGGACACCCATGCTCAAAGGATTGTGTTTATATATTTATATATATATATATATATATATATATATATATATATATATATATATATATATATATATATATATATATATATATACACACACACACCCCGATCAGGCATAACATTATGACCACCTCCTTGTTTCTACGCTCATTGTCCATTTTATAAGCTCCACTTACTATATAGGTGCACTTTGTAGTTCTACAGTTACAGACTGTAGTCCATCTGTTTCTCTGATACTTTGTTAGCCCCCTTTTACCCTGTTCTTCAGTGGTCAGGACCCCCATGGACCCTCACAGAGCAGGTACTATTTGGGTGGTGGATCATTCTCAGCATTGATGTGGTGGTGGTGTGTTAGTGTGTGTTGCACTGGTCTGAGTGGATCAGACACAGCAGTGCTGCTGGAGTTTTTAAACACCTCAGTGTCACTGCTGGACAGAGAATAGTCCACCAACCAAAAATATCCAGCCAACAGCGTCCTGTGGGCAGCGTCCTGTGACCACTGATGAAGGGCTGGAGGATGTCCAACACAAACTGTGCAGCAGCAGATGAGCTATCGTCTCTGACTTTACATCTACAAGGTGGACTGACAAGGTAGGAGTGTTTAAAAACTCCAGCAGCACTGCTGTGTCTGATTCACTCATACCAGCACAACACACACTAACACACCACCACGTCAGGGTTACTGCAGTGCTGAGAATGATCCACCACCCAAATAGTACCTGCTCTGTGAGGGTCCATGGGGGTCCTGACCACTGAAGAACAGGGTAAAAGGGGGCTAACAGAGTATGCAGATAAACAGATGGACTACACTTAAAGTATATTTAAGTAAGAAATTACATCGATTTTTAGAACTGAGAGCTGGAGGATGAGGTAATATTTCAAACTTTACATATATTGATTTTCTAACTTTATCCAAACCATTTATAAAGTAACACAGTGTATGATGCATATAAATGTATTGGGCTTTGAAATGTACTTCTATCACTTATTGGAAATACATTTCTGTGTAGTGAAGATTGAGCTTACTGCAGAATGGAATTTCTTTATTTGTAGTAAAATATGTCATCGTCTGGTCCATCTTCACCAGCGACTCCTTCCACTTAATCACATCATAACCTATGAGCAGGAAAAACCATAGAGCAGACACCATATCAGCCATTCAGATCATAAAAATGCACACAAAAATGTCTTTTTTGAAAAGTGATGTTCATCTCAATGGATGCTGTAACCAGTACACAATCCTTCTTATCCGTCAGAGTTACAATCAGAATTGGAAGATGTGCTTTACAATCTAGGAAAAAACACTACTGTTCCACACAAAGTGTGGAATCACTGTTTCCAATGATAAAATATTTTGTTTCTGATATAATATTATTCTGTTAGAGTAATACTATGCAATGCCATGAAAAATAAGCCATAAAATTAAGTAATCTTAGATGTGCAGAATGATGAACAGAGCTGGATCAATACAAATTCTCAAAAGAAGTTCTAATATAATTTTTATTCCAAATACTATGTATTGAAATGTGCTGATCAAATCTGTAGTAGATAACGTATTAAGAATTTATGATAAATGAATAAATTACTGTATATTTTTACTTCTAAACCTTCTTTGAATAGTTGCTATATATATATATATATATATATATATATATATAGTGAACTATATATATATATATATATATATATATATATATATATATATATATATATATATATATATATAGTGACTATAAGCTTATATGCTGACTGTAAGCTTTTCCTGCATGTGCAACTGATTAAATATGTCATTTGTCAACAAATTTTAAAGCTCAATTAGCTTATTTATACATCATTTATTTACTTAGTTTAACTTTAAACATTGAAAAGCATAAAACATAAAATGGATATTGTACCATAACCTTTGCTCAGGCCACATTTCATGTTTTTTCTTTCCCCAATATGTTAAAATCAGCTAACTCTGTGTTAAAATGTGCAGAAATGTGTCTCTGTAGAGGATGTGTTCACTTATTTATTTCTGTTAAATCAGCAACAACATGGAATTTGACCAGTGGGGCACAAACTTTTACACACCATTGTATACAGATCAGAGTCACTGCAGGTCTAGTGTACAGTGAAGTTGACAGTGAGTGACCGGTGCTGTGTAGATTTCGTGTTGTGCGCTGTTGTGTTCCAGCAGAAGCAGAATTAATGAGTATTTTGTAGATGTTTGATTCTTACCAAAGACTGGACAACCGGCTGACCCGAACTGCGTACAGTTCAAACACTTCCCGTCTAAGAAGTCAGAGTAATTGGAGCAGGGATAGGCGGTGATGGGGCAGGTCTTGTTCAGAGAGCCAAGAAAGAGGAACACTGACCTCTGGTGGTCACACTTAAAATATTTTGAACCTGCAGAGAGATCAAAACACTGATAATCAGCCTGTCAGCCTGCAGAGCTCTGGACTGAGACATGCTGAACGCGGCATTCTGTGGAACTCTGTAACAGGAGAGTTTGTTGTTGTTTAAGTGGCAACGTGCTGGAAAAAAACACGCCACACCTGAACTGTCTACTGCAGCAGGCAGGCCTGTGTCTGCACTGGGCAAAGGTAGGCAGCTGCCAAGGGCCCCCCATAAGCCAAGGGCCCCATCAAAAATACAAATAAGATATATTTTAGATGTACATAACAATGGTGTCAGTGTTATTATAGATAGAACCAGTGTTGTAATCCATTACAAGCTTTTATTTACCTCTATCAAAATGTGATCAGATTATTTTAACTATCACTTCCAGGAAAAAAAAGTAATCTCATTACTTCTATATATCTCTGTACCAGATTATCTCACTGTACTGGCTAATTTTGCTTATTCGAATCACATTCCTTAAAACAAGCTCAATGATCTGCCAATACAGTGAGATAAATTCTCTTAATAAAGTGATTTCAGCAAAAACGTCTAGAAATTAGATATTCACACAGAAGTTAAATATTCTTATAATCCACTAAAAATCAATCTGACAATGAGATATATTAGAAATATTGACTAGATTTAAGATGATTTCACTTGTCAAAATTATTTGTTTCACAGTGTAGATGGTTGCATGACATTCAAAAATGTGTATCCAGGGGGCGCCATTCCTGTCTTTTGCCCAGAGCCCTATAATCAATAAACCTGCCTTTGATTGCAGGATTTTGGCCATAGAATCTCTTAACAAGTTATTGTCTCTAAAACGACATGTTAAAAACAGCATATAGTTTAAAAATAATAACTATAAAAAAAAAAAAAATGAGAAAGAACTGGGAAGTGAGAGTTTCTGAGCAACACTGGAAAGTTTATTTTTTCTTTTGGAAGTAAACAAAATGAGCTTTCTCAATGGGCAATATCTTCTTCCAAGTTGTTGATCGTAAAATGAACGCACTCAAATTTCACCAACAATTTTGTTACTCATCACATTCAGCTTTGCCAATATTTGTGTTAAGGAGCCAAAGTGGAATCTGTTTTGTTTGTATGATGTAAATAATTAAAGTCTGGTGCAGGAATAATACTGTCAGACTGTTTATATACTGCATACACTACAAAAACCATTAAATTTAGTCCATTATTTCAAATATTTCTTAATATTTCTCATTATGAGATTTCTAACTCCTAAGTGTCAAAAATTTTGGTTGAAAACTTGGTTAACCCCTTATAATCTCAGGTTTATTACATACTAAGGCTTATTATTCAGTAACTACAGGGACTTCAATGCAAACTGGCTAAGCTATTCTTAGATTATATAAGTGTGTAATTCAGGGATGTCTCTACATTAGGGGCCGGTGAGGCCTGGCCCCACCAGATGTCGCTGTGGAGCAGCATGATCAATAATTCAGTATAAGGAACTAAAAGATTCCAACATCATTCAGTCTGAAAAGGACAAAAACTGCTCCTTCAGTCCAGAGAGGTTCAAGAGAAAAACATGGCTAACTGTGAGTGTAGCTAAAAGCACTCTGCAGCTTTCCTTGCCTGCTTTGCATGGATTGGTGACTTTGAGACAAAGGTTTTTGACCAGTCTGCCCAGATGAAAGATCGTCCTGCATCTTGTCTTTTCGAGCAGTGAACGTCACAGTGAGTCATTCTGCATTATTACAGAGTGTGTTATTCCTAAAGCCCAGACAGCCTGTTTCCCTGCTCTGATACGTTGTTTTGGATATGTAGTTGGAGACAACACTAGTCGTTTACTGCATGATAACTTTTTGTAATTCGATGCTGTATAACCAGGTTTTGTGAGATCTAATGTCGTTATCATATCACTGATATTCTCAACTTCCACTGACTCCTGCACCGTTACGTTAATCTGTGAATGTGTGATTTCATTGATGGAGTGTGTTTCTGTTTGGATCTGGTTTGTGTGCAGTTTCATTTACTAGTCGCCTGCTGTTCCGACAGTTTATTGTGTCCCACCAGGCTTTCTGTGCCAGAGACGCCACTGGTGTAGTAAAACTTTGGTTCTGCCAGTGGGCTCTGGCCATTTAAGGGGTTAACTCAAACGCAACGAATGAGCCCAGGTTACTAAAATCTACTGAGTGAAAAGTAACATCTGTATTTTGAGTTGTAATCAGGTGAATCAGTGACTGACCTGAGAAGATGGTTTTTGGACAGCCCGGCTGATCCGCTCCGCCATTCGCGTAGAAGTCAATGTGGCCCAGTGGTTTCCGAAACCCAAGAGCTGCGAAAAAGCATTGGGGGATGAGCTAATATCGTTAACTGTACACATATTAACTGCACTGTACATCTGTACATGAACTCACAGTCCATGTCTGTGTGCAGAACATCTACGAACTGAGCGTCAGTCTGGTCCAGGCGGTCTTCTGGAGGCTTCCCCGTGAAGGACGGGCCTGCAGGGTCCAGAGCTGGATCAAACATGCAGAGTTCTTCAGTTAGAAACGCCCGCAAAATGGGTTCGTTCAATTTTCTATCTGCTATGTTTTATCTGATATATTTAGTATATAACAGTATGTAAACAGAAGATGCCAGGAGCCAATAGGAAAGATTTTACACTGCAAAAAAATAGTATCTTGTTAAGTAAAATGATCTTAATTCTAGGCGATATATCTAATATTTCTTATTTTGGCATAGTTGTGCACTTATTATAAGATTGTATAGCTCATTTCTGGACATTTCTTACCTGTTTTAAGTCATTTATATACTTATTATACTTATTTAAACTATAGTGGCAGATCATTTGGCTGGTTTCAAGCTCATTTCTTAAAACAAGCAAAATTCTCTCTCAATATAGAAAGATAAATTTACTTAATAGAATCACTTAAAATAAGTAGAAAATGTTTGAAAATAAGTTAAATAATCTTAAAATGAGCTACAACAATCTCAACAGGAGAAATATTAGATTCATTGACTAGATTTATGATTAATTTTACTTGACAAAATAACATTTTTTGCAGTGTATACTAAAGTGTACACTGACCAAACAAAACTTTGGAAGTAAATCTGACAGCTTCACTGACTTACATGCATTTGTTGTCATACCAATGAGAGAAAACTGATTAAAACCAACAAACATTAGATTTTGTTTTATTTGAGCGTACAAGCCCTGTAAACAGTGCTATTATTATTATTATTATTATTATTATTATTATTATTATTATTCTCAGGGGGGCTTTAGGGGCCCAACCACTAGAGGGGGCCCAAGAGACCAAGGAAGCAAGGCTGGACGTCTCTTACCTGTGATTCTGCCGATGCTGCCGTTAAATTTAGCCCCAGTGAATCCTGAGATATGAGCCCCCAGACTCACTCCAATCATGTGGATGGAGCTGAGAGACACATCTTTATCCTGCAGGAAAGAGTTTCCCCAAAAAAACAGCAGCTTCAGCACAATTACACATCACAGCACTACTAAAATACACTGAACATGTTTACGAACACTTACTGAGATCATTTCACTACAGACAGAAAACTGATAGACTGTTTATTGAAGCTCATTTATTTCTTTTTATAACAAAAAATCTGAGGTAGTACTGAAGTTAAGACCGCTAGAGCTGAGTCTGAGTCAAGACCAAAACTAAGGGGTTTTATCATTATTATTATCATTATTATTATTATTATTATTATTATTGAAAACATTATATTATTGAATAAGCCTTAACAATTACTAATTACTATTACACACACACACACACACACACACACACACACACACCCATATATATATATAACTGCTTTGTAACTGGAAGTAATGGTGCGGTTATTCTCTCTTCCTTTCTTCTTTAAAATTTCTTCAGAATCACCATCTAAATTAAAATGAACAGAAACTAAACTACATCCATTTTATGATTCAATGGAAAATGTAACACACAGTAATAATAACTATGATCTGCCCTCACGGGGTGTCTGAACTTTGGAACCAATGAACATCAAACAAACAAACAATTCAGTTAAGCCATCATGGAAAGATCAATTAGATCCTCAATCAGATTTCATTTAAACCTCCAAGCAGTGGTTTTCAACCCAGTGAGCTGTGGTGGTACTGCAGTTTTTTTTAAACACAAATAGAAACATTTACACACACACACACACACACACACACACACACACACACACACACACATTTTCTAAGCTGCTTATCCTCCTGGACCGCGGGGGGCGGTGCTGGAGCCTAACCCCTTGTCGCCCGGCCGGGGAACTGAACCCAGGCGCTTCTTACTGTGAGATAAATATTGCAGATTGCTGCTGATTGTCTTTAGTTCATTGATTGCTCTAGCAAAATTTTAGCTAGTTATATTTATATTTTTGAGAGAAATGAAATGAAGGACATACAGCGGTGAATACACAGCTCTGGCCCAATCCCATTTCACCCCTCGCCCCTACCACTCAGCCCTTAGCCCTCTGTTTTGTGTGTTCACATCTAGGGGTAGGGTGTAGATAGAGGGGTGGGGTGAAGTGTTGGGGCTACATGACCCCCCAAACGGAGGTTTTTCAGAGACTCCAAACAGAGAGTTATGAGAAAAAAAGAAAAACCAGCAAGATGGAGAACAAGAGACCAAAGAAACCCACAAATGTGAAAATTTTCTCTGTTAAAAATTACGATAACCACTGTATTATCTTAGTTTAATGTTGTTTTAGTGTATTATGGTCGTTTTCTTCATAACAAGCATAAAAAATTGCTAATAGTATGCTAATGTCTTGGTAGCTCGGAGCTAGCTTTCCCGTTCCACCTTAAATAGTCCAGCAGTTCTGACGCCTGAAGCCTCAGAAAGTAACTGCTGCACCGTTTAAAGTGGAACAGGAAAATTCAAACGAGAATCTGGAGAATATCTGACTTCAGCTTCATATCACTGAAGAATTAGGGGGGGTAAACACAGCGCATATGAATCTAAACACAGTGAATATGAATCTAAATCTGTTGAACTGAGCTGAACTCCTCAGCTTTCCTCTCTTCAGCCTGACATGCAGCACTCAGTAGCTGCCAAACCAGCTTCTCATTAGGAGAGCCAGCAAAAGACTATCCGATCACTTAAATCTGCAAAAGCTTGTGTGGTTGTTTGTTTTGCTGTGAGATGCAAAAGTTTGTGAACCTGTGACTCAGAGAAAAGAATAAGTTTTATTCTGTTTGTTTTGGTTTTGTTAATATTCAATAATAACTCCTGTTACCTCAGACGGAGGCGTCACACTCAACCAGTCTCAAAATCAACTGCTCTGGGATCGAGACAGTCTCAAGACAGGCAAGATGTGGTGGAGCTTCACGTGTCTCGAAGGAAAAATGTGCTAGCCTTCATCCTCCCAGCTCAGCAGCATCGTGTGATAGAGGGAGGCTTATGGGTAGAACTGGACACGACCAAATTAGGGGAAAATATCCAAATAAACTCCCCCAAAACCTGAAACACCTGGGTTCTATGGCATAGGCTATCATTAAAACTGGTAACTCATTCCTAAGTCTGAGTCCATCTGAGATACTGATCCGTAAAGCTCAGATTTGCCCAGGTAGTTTGCATTAATTTGTTAAACACTAACACTAGAATAAATAAATGCAAAGAAACGATCCATTGTGGTTGTTCTGTATGTGATTGTGTTAGTTTCACCATTTCCAAGTGTCTCCTTAAGGAAATCCAATACAGTTACTCCAACACCTGCTTTATCTAATCAATACTTCATTAAATTAAATCAGCTGATTGAACTAAACAAATCCATGTGATGGCTGGAGAGCAGCGAGAAGTCGGGAATCAAACTTGTGTTCTTCTAACATCTACATATTAATAACTGTATTGAACACAGCACATTCTGACTGCTGTATTTATCGCTGTTGTATTCTCCAAAATGGTCGCTTTACAGGAGAAGGAAAAAACATACTCTACTTTTAATGTGAGTCAATGGAACCAGAATTTTTTCCAAGTAATTTTGGGTCATTTCTGTTGTTCCATTCATCATGAAATTTACACACAATATATAGGATCACAGGTACTTTCACTTTATGCCAAAAACTGAAAAATGGAGATATGAGGTTTTGTTCCAACAGCAGCGACATGTTTATTTGTATTTATTCTAAAGTTATATAATATTTTTGATCACAGTTTATTTGAATGGTCCCCTATAGATGATATAACAAACTGTCTGGTGAATAGCAACAACACTAAACTAGAGTTTAGGCTTAGGAGTAGGTGTAGGTTTTGCTTTGAGGTTAGGATTAGGGTTAGATTTAATAGAATCTTTCACAAGCAGCTTCAAGTTCAGTTGCATTTAATAGGTATTTATTTAAATGTTACTTAAAGACAGACTGAGCACCTACAAAACATCTATAGTGGACCATCCAAATAAAGTGTTACCATTTTTTTTTTGTTTTCAAAAACAAAAAATAGATTTAAACAGCCCATTTTATGAAAAAAAGTTTCTTCACTTTTCTGAAATGAAAGAATTTAATATGATATTTAAACACTGTCAAAACGTTCCGGTCCATTCAGTCCATTTATGGAAACCAACCTACAAAAACAGTCAGTTCTGAATTCGCTGCTTTTGTGATGTCATGAAAATGAGCAGATTTACAAACAAATCCCCCTATTCAGCCTGCTTCAGTTTAGCCCCGCCCACTCACACTGAAGTTATAAGGAGTGTTTCAGCCTGGACTGCTTTATGAATGAAGGCAGCCAATCAGAATAGAGCTCATTTACATATATCACTCATAAACAGCCTGTTTAATTGTAAGGGATGAAAAGATTTTGTAAGAAGGTCATGTAAAAATGAACTGGGACCGTTTTTATCAGATAGAACAAATTCTATACGTGATTATTGAGTGGAAATATTAACTTCTGACACTTTTATGTTTATGTAACTTAATTTACAGTAAATTGTTACATGTAGCAAAAAAAAATCCATCACAGTCTCATGATTTCACAGCAATGCCACCACGAAGCCCTCGTTAAAAGAACACAGGTTTGGTTCCTGATTTCTGCTATTGTATTTATGCATTTTATTTTTTCATCTGAGGTCCATTTATGACACCACTTACAGGTGGTGTACAAACACGAATAGTTGGGAGCATCAGTTCTAAGCAAAATATCAATAAACATTTATTAAAAACAATAATGAAACATTTTACATTGTACTGTATTTATGTTTATTTGTTATGTTGGTTATTTGATGTGATTTTTTAATTTTTTTGCATTTATTTGATGTTTTCTACTTATATTTGCTGGCAAAAAACACACACTTACTGCCAAAATAAACAGTTTTAAACCATTTTCCTGCCTATTTGAGACTTTTGTACAGTACCGTAAATTTACTATAATTATCACACACACACACAGTACACATTAACCATGCCTCCTACTAAAGTTTCCACTCATCTGTGTTAAAAATTAACCCGGATTATAGAAGGTCTGTTTACTCAACCACTGCGCACACAGTTACTGACCGGGTTCAGACACATAATTGAAATCTAGATGGAGTGAAGCTCACTGTACTTGTACTGAGCTCAGAGGGATTTTCAGGAATGTGTCTACATGCAGTTAGTCAGTGTGACGCCTCCTGACTGACCATCTCAGATTTGCTTATTACTTTCAGAAGACGATGTCACTGTGAACAGTAGACACTGTGCAAAATGTGTGGCTTGTATCTTTATTAGTTTCTGTGATATAGAGGTTTCAAAAAATTGGGCGAGACATTAATTTTTGCCTTAAAATCCCCTAAAATGTGCAACCTTGATAAATCATAACTTTTGAACTATTAATACTAGATGCATAAAATGTTTAGGGATTATTCTTTGGATAATGTGTATTTAGGAAAAAGCAGAGGTGCAAGTTTGGAGCTCTGAATCTCTGAAAATTGAATTAGGTTTTTATTCGTATATGGTCAACAGCAACTTAAAAAAAGTGCAATAACTTAAATAAAAAATTCTTATTAAAAATAAATTTACAACAGATTTAAGAGCGGATTAATCATTGCATTCAATATACACTAACATTGAAAAGTTTTGAATCAATATTTTCAACTATTTTAAATCAACTTGGTGTTAAAAAATACATAAAATAATTATATGTTGGAAGAAAATTCTAAAATGAGTGAGAAAGTTGTTTTTTTATCAATAATTATTTTATAATAAAATTACCATCCAGAATAGATTATGTTTCAAAGACTAAGATCTAATCTCAAAGGATATAACTTGAAAAAGAAATGAAAGTAAATGCATAATTACACTATATTATCGATCATTTTATTCATTTTTTTGTTCACTGAATTTTGCAAATATTTAATAAAACCTCTTCTGCCTTTTGGTGAGTAACTTGTAATATTTAAATACATGCTATAGACGTTATTGTTGTATCTAAAATAACAAAGATGGTTCAAAATGGCAAGTGAACCCAGACTTTGGAGCAGTAGTTTTATAACATGAAGAAAAGACATCAGGCAAAAGAGTTAACTGTGCTCATTCAGGTTCCCACCTATGCTTTAGAACCGCAACCCACAAAAGGAGGAAGTCTAACCACATAGATGAGAAACAATGATTTACTCCAGTGACAGTTTAAAGGTTATTTGAGGAAAAGCCTCATATGATTTCTTTCTGTTCGTGTTTCTGCAGCACTAGCTTGTGACATATTTATCCACACGCCCTAACATGGTGATTCCCAACATTACTTATTTGAACACTTTCATTTCTCTCAACTACCAGCAAATTGATAAGCCTTTCGTCAGCTGGATCCTGCATTCTAGGGAAACTTACAGAGTCAGAATATTACATGAAATGGTTATGAATTCACTGCCTGATGACTGAGACACTGTTTTATGATAGTTTTGAGAACTTAAACTCCATTCGTGGTGGAGGGATACATGCAGGGCGCTGTGAGGCAAAATAGTCCCCAAAGAAAACTTATTATTTCAGATTTCCCACTATTTTCCATCATCAACATTCCATATAAACTCAGAAGACTCGTGTAGGTTCACTGGTGGTTCTGGATAGTAAATAAAATGTCTATATCTGTGTTGTAGTCATGGTGACCCCTGGTTCCTATCACCACCACTGTAAAGACATCTGAACCATTTCACACCAAACCACTCTGAATCACTTAATTATGCAGAAACTGTGAAAAATTGGTGGAATTCCACTTTAGGTATCTCTAATAGACCTGATTAAAAATGGACAAAAGCTAAGAAACAGCTGACAGCTTTAGTAGGTGATATGATTTTTTGTTGCTGGGTTTTTTTTTTTTTTAATGAATTTACATCAAACAGAACTTGTTATAATATCACAAGAGATGGCAATACTGTGTATACAGGCATTAAATTGGGATTTTGGTGGTGGGGAAGCCCTATTTTGTCCATGTCTGTCAACAATGAGGGAGTTCTCAGGACTGATATTATGGACATGTGATTAAAACTGTTAAAAATGTGTTTGTCATAATGGCTTAACTTATTCATTTGTCTGTTTTGGCCAGCAATTATATTAAAATATCTTCTTTTCAGACAAAAATGATTTAAAAACATGCCTAGTGTGACCACAACCCCCACTAACCTCTTTTCACAGAAGCCATAATATGCAGTTTTCACCTGTTTTGGAGGCTCCAGAGTTGAACTATGTATGTTTTTCTTCAATAATATCAACATAATATCTCTAATATGGAAATGTGAATGATTTTACAAAACCAGAAGTAAACTGGATTTTCATCCTCCTAGGTGAGCAAGCAATTATATTGTGTATAAATGCTATTAAAACACAATATATACACATTATATACTCTTATAATATCTTCTTTTCTGACAACAAAACATGCCTAGTGTGATAAAAATTGACAAATAATGGAGATACATGTCTTTGCACAGTGATGACATGCAGTGTCGGTCACAAGCTTCAAGGAAAACATGAAATGTTTTTTAGGACCTTCGGATGTCCGTGTTTAATCTAGAACTGCCAAAACGTGCCATTAGCTTAGCGCTAACTGACTACTTGAATCCCATAGGGATGCTAGCAGATTAGCGTTATCGTAGAGATGGTTTTCCTCATGTTTTGACATTTATCACCCAAAATCGAGGGCCTAACTCTAAAAATCACACTTCACCATATTGCATTACAGCTTCTACTGCTTACATCTGCAAATGTGAACACGTGATTAACTTTAAAATGAGGATCCTCTGCTCTTCAGACAGCCTGGATTCATATTAAATGCAGAGCGCTAGACTCAGGTACAGCTGATTTAGTTTGGAGTGGCTTTTAGGGCAGCAGAAACTAAAGGCCTTAAAGCTGTACATGAACTGGAAGCATGAACTGAAATACATTTAAAAAGCCCAGAAATTTGTAGGCACCGTGTGTTAAATCGGTGTGTTCTGTGTGTAATGAGGGGGAGCGTTAGTGGGAGGAGAATGCAGCTTTCAGATGAGCTAAAGCTTAAAGTTGTAGCATTACATGGTAAACGAGGACTCGATTTGCCCCCATAATTCCTACCTGCAGCTTCCGGATGAAGTCGGTCAGGATTTCGGCCACTTGCCGTGTGTTCTCCACCACTTTCAGGTAGTTGATGTTGGTGGCCCCTCGGTTCCAGTCCACCACGATGATGTTGACGTCTTCACGAGTCAGGATGGCCTCCACCACCCAGTTCATCCAGATCGGTGGAGAGCCGGTGGGCCGGTAGCCGTGGATGATGAAGATGGTGGGACGAGTCACGTTCAGTAAAGGCTCACTGAAGGGGTCTTCTGAGTTGAGCAGGTGGCCACAGTTGGCATTAACCCGAGTGTAGAGCAGAAGCCGGACTTGGAGAGTCGATCCAATGATGGAGTGTTTGAGGTCGAGATCGGTGATGTTCTCACATGGCTGAGCTGCAGGACGAGCAGAGAGAACGTGTGTTGAAAAACATGCTGTGTGGACGTATGGACGCTTGAAGGATGGTAGGTACAGAGTGATCGGTGTACATATTATAATTTTTAGATTTATCTTTATTGGAAACCCCTACAGTGTACTTCCACTCGCTGGCCACTTTATTAGAAACACCAACCTTGTACCTTTATTCCTAGGCCACTATATTAGAAACACCAACCTTATACTTCCACTAATTGGCCGCTTTATTAGAAACACCTACTTTTTATGTTCACTCACTGGCCACTTTGTAAGAAACACCCACCTTCTAATTCCACTAAGTGGCCAATTTATTGGAAACACCTACTTTTTATGTTCACTCACTGGCCACTTCATTAGATACACCCACCTTCTAATTCCACTAAGTGGCCACTATATTAGAAACACCTACCTTATGCTTCCACTCACTGGCCACTTTATTAGAAACGTCTACTTTTTATGTTTACTCACTGGCCACTTTATTAGAAACACCTACTTTGTACTGTTGCTCACTGGCCACTTTATTAGAAACGCCTACCTTGTACTTCCATTCACTGAACACTATATTAGAATTACTAGAATTACTGGAATACCATGATGATACTAGGAACTTCAGACACTTTGTAAGATAATGACCCTCCACCAGCTGAGCTGTAAGAGACACCTGCAGTTTGCAGTAAGCCTGCCTCAGCTGAGTGAGGTGGTCTGAATAGGCTATGACTCCTTAACAGATCAGTAAGATCTGCCAGAGCTCAGCCATTAAGAGCTCTAAATATCATAAGCAAAAGTCCTGCATCTACTGAAAGCTCAACAGGAAGCCAGTGTAAACTGAATGAGAGCACAGTAATGCACTCAAACTCTCTATTTCTGGTGAGCACACTGGCTGCTGCATTCTAAACTGGTTGAAGCCAATTTAGTGAAACAGAAGGACAACAGCAGCCAGTAACATATTACAGCAGTCTAAGCTGGTAGATCTGAAAATTTATATTGTTGTGACTGATATTAGACTCAAATGATAAATTAGCATCCGGTGTAACACCCAGATCTGTAACTCTGTTGGTAGGGCAGAAAAACATTAAGGTCAAAGATCTCAGACTCCAGGCCCAACGGCGAATCTTTCAGTTTATCAGAATTCAGCAGAAGGAAGTCCTTATCATCCAGGCTTTTATGTATTTAATACAATCTTCCATTACGTGTAACCGTGCCAGTGACTCTAGCCAAGCTGACACATATAACTGAGTATCGTCAGCATAAGAGCAAAGGGCAACAAAGTTTGTGTCCTAGTGTCTGTAAGTGGAGAGAGAACAGCAGAGGCCCTAAAACAGAGCCTTGTGGGACACCATATTGTACTTTAAGTACTTTACGTTTAGAAACCTCTGCGTTTACAATAAAACAATGGTAGCGGTCTGTTAAGATCTGTCATTCATAAACTATGATAATGCTTTTCAGTTTTTGCTAAATTTTAGCACTGTATTTTAAATGAAAGGATTCTTACACTCATGACGTAATGCCTATAAAACAGCATGGTTCCTGGGACCAAGCAGTTCTTTTTTTAATTCTAATTCTGTTTCTCATGGTATACAGGACCTGGCAGTTCTAAGTTCAATGTATGTCATTTGCTGAGTGCTTAAGATTGCTTTGAAAGAAACGTTTAAAATCGAAAACACTAAATAAATAATAATTCTATTGTGGTTTGTGTCACTATGTGCAGAACAGAACGGTCTGATGGGAACATGTTCTATCAATGAAAGACATTAATTTAGTGAAGAGTAATCAGGAAACATGGGCACATGAACTTCATTAATGATAAATTATTAACTTTATAAAGCATTGGTTATTTAACTTTAATAATTAACTTGCTTAATGCTAACAAATTGACTTTACAAATACTAACTTAAATACATTGCAAAACCATGATATTGCAATATATTTGGAAAATAAAATATATTGAAAAATATGCATGAAAATAAGTTAAGACAAACAAAAAAATCAGTTTGAATCTCAAAAACACTTTCGTCCTCTTCCACTATTTACAGTGACAGGCTGTAGTCCAAATTGTGTGGTTTCTGCACAATTAATTAACCCCACCTTTACCTTCTATCACTGGGCAAAGTGGTCAACCATCCAAAAATATCCATCCAGGAGCAGATCTGTGGTCAGAAACTGAATACTAATGAAGGACTATAGGATAGCTAATACAAACTGCACATCAACAGAAGGACTACAGTCTCTAACTGTAGAGCAGCAGGGTGGGGTTTCCAATAAAGTGGCCGGGGGAGTATAGAAACCAAAACCAGGGCAGCGGCTGTCACCCACTCATCACGTCATCAGCAAATGATGAAAATCACTTTTCCATGGGGTGTGTTTTCTGAGTAAATGAGGTATAGAGGTTTGTGGTTCTGGCATCACATTTTATTTTAACACAACATTTACAGTAAGTCAGCTCATAAGTGCCATGTTCACTATGACTAAGTAAAACAACCTGCCCTTTTTGTCTCCATCAGTGTTTCACAACAACTGGTGTATTTGTGGTATTGTATGTTGGTCTTTTGCAGATGGTAACCACAGGGTGGTGAAAAGGGCACTGCAGTGACCAGGAGCTGCTCCAGAGCTGTATTTTCCCCTCCAATGCAGAAATAAAACCTTCAGCAGAAGTCACTGCCGGCCACGGAGCACAAGCAGAGTTTTGGTTCAGCATGAGGAACAGAAAGGGGAATACCAAGACTTCGGTTTCTGAACGAAGGAAGAGAAGACTAGCCGCGTTTCAGGGTCTTCTCACCGAGCCTGAGCAGTGAGGGCTGTGTGTTATGTGTCCTAGCAGGAGAACAGAAGTATAGCGGTTCATTGTTCTCCATCAAAAAAATGAAGCAGATTAAATTTGTACTGGTTTTAAAGGTTTTAATGAGGCAGCACCTTCATGTGTCAGGAGTTTCATTTTACCTATGCTTTAATATCTACATTGTCTTATGCAAAACTCCTCTGTTTACATGTTTTGTTGATTTTAATGTTTAATTCAACAAATAAATAACAATTGTTTAATAAAATGAGCATAAATATGCCATATTTACGTAAGCTTACATAAGTAATGGCACATAAGTTTGTTCTCTATAAGGATTTTACTTTATTAGTAAAACAGAAAATCAATCAATTTGATTTAAATTTGATTTCCTTTTCTATTTTAATGCTTTTTTTCACATGCACTGCACATTTGCACAAACTATAAGAGCAAAAGTATGTGGACACCTGACCATCACACCTATATGAGCTTGTTGGACGTCCCTCTCCAAAACCATGGGCATTAATTTGGAGTTGCCCCATTTTGCGGCTGTCACAGCTTCCACTCTTCTGGGAAGCTTTCCACAAAATTTTGGAGGGAGTCTGTGGGAATTTGTGCCCATTCAGTCTAAAGAGCATTTGTGAGGTCGGACACTGACGTTGGACGAGAGGGCCTGACTCACAATCTCCATTCTAGTTCATCCCAAAGGTGTTCAGTGGGGTTGAGGTCAGGACTCTGGAGTTGCTCCACACCAAACTGGTCACACCAGTAGCATCAACATCACCCTTCACTGGAACTGAGGGGCCCAAACCCTGAAAACCAGCCCCAGCTCATCATCCCTCCTCCACCAAACTTTACTGTTAGTACTATGCATTCCGGTAGGTAACGTTCTCCTGAAATCCACCAAACCCAGATTCATCATCAGACTGACAGACAGAGAAGCTGATTCATCACTCCAGAGAACACGGTTCCACTGCTCCAGAGTCCAGCGGCGGCGCTTTACACCACTCCAGCCGACACTTGGCATTATGCATAGTGACCTTGGGCTTTTATGCAGCTGCTGACGTTGCCTCCAGAGGCAATTTGTGACTCTGTGGTGAGTGATGCAACAGAGAGCAGATGATTTTTACATGCTTCAGCCCTCGCCGGCTCCTCTCCGTGAGTTTGTGTGGTCTACTGCATCGTGACTGAGCTGCTGTAGCTTCTAGATGCTTCTATTTCACAATAATAGCACTTACAGTTGAATTTCACAATACGTTTCACAAGCTGACTTGTGGCAAAGGTGACATCCTATGACAGTGTCATGTTTAAAGTCACTGAGCTCTTCAGTGCGACCCTCTGCTGCCAGTGTTTGTCTATGGAGATTGTACAGCTCTGTGCTTGCCTTAGACATACAATAAATATCAATACTATATTTACACATAATGTATATACTGTTTATATGTACATACACACACAGGTAGGTAGGTAGGTAGGTAGGTAGGTCGATAGATAGATAGATAGATAGAATGCATTAGGTACAGTCTTACCTTTGCACACTGCAAATGATGCGAACATCATGGCTAAAAGCCAGCAGCAATGGGACGACCTGCAGAGCTGCAAAATAAATGGAAGAAGAAATAAAGATGTAAATGGGAATCAGTCTTCAGTTTGGGGTTCTCCATCCTAGAACACACCCTCTTCATTCATACATACATAAATCACCACACACTTCCCTTAATCTCTCTAACAGACTGTATTATGTGACACTGTTACCTATAAACATAGACTAAAGTACCTAAAGTACATTATCATAAACACTTAAAAAAGAGGGTTCTTCAAGGGATCTTTAGTAAAGAAAATGGTTCTATATAGAAACCTTGAGAGGAACCAAAATTCAAAAGGGAAACCCATCCTCCTCTGATCGACACCAGATAGCAAACAATAACACAAGAGCAAAATGAACAGAGAATAAGGTTTTAACATAAGCATAAAATATTAAAATACAGAAAAATATAAAAACAGACATTTTGGGTACTATATAGAACACTTTTCAAAAAGGTTTTATAAAGAAACATTTACAACACATACTTCATCAATCTGAAGAATCCGTTCATGATGCAAAGAATGCTTTAATCCTGTAAAAGGTTCTTTGAGTGTTCATGGTTGTATATAGAACCATTTTCTTTACTAAAGAACCTTTGAAGAACCATAATTTTTAAGAGTGTTGTTAACAATAGCAGCAGCAGCAATGCTGATGTCTGAACTTTGGAAATAGTTTTGTCTATTTTGGGTGAGATATGAACATCCCTCACAGTCCCTTATAGTCCCTTACAGTCCCCTATAGAGCCTTACAGTCCCCTATTAGTCCCTTACAGTCCCCTATGGTTCCTTACAGTCCCCTATAGTGCCTTACAGTCCCCTATAGTCCCCTACAGTTCCTTATAGTCCCCTATAGTCTCTTACAGTCCCTTACAGTCCCCTATAGTGCCTTACAGTCCCCTATAGTCTCATATAGTCCCCTATAGTCCCCTATAGTCTCATATAGTCCCCTATAGTCCCTTACAGTCCACTATAGTCCCTTATATTCCCTTACAGTCCCCTGATGTCCCTTACAGTCCCTTGGGGCAGTCATGGGCTGGAGGTCAGGGTACCCACCCGGAAGGTCGCCGCTTCAATCCCCTGAGCCAACAGTACGCGACAGAAGTGCCCTTGAGCAAGGCAACTAACTCCCAACTGCTCCCTGGGCACTGTGGAAAGGGCTGCCCACCACTCCAGGCAAGTGTGCTCACTGACCCCTAGTGTGTGTGCATTCGCTAGTGTGTATGTGGTGTTTCACTGCACCGACAGGTTAAATGCAGAGGTGAAATTTCCCCTTTGTGGGACTAATAAGGGTCAACTTAACTTACAGCCCCCTATAGTCCCTTACATTAGCCACATAGCTTTAGTGTTTAACTAAAAAAGCCATTGAACACGTCTTGGCTGAGTGAGGGTACTGCAGTACTATCACTTTAAATCAGTTGAATTAAACCACAACACCATATCAAATCAGGACTTTACCTTGTCTTACAAGGCCAGACTTGTACTCATAATGAAAGTACACATCTTGGGACATGTCAAAACTCTAAACATTTAGTGTTGGACTGCAGCCAACAAGGGTAAACCCTGCCCCAAATTCCTAGTCTGGGCTCCGTTAACATCCAGATTCCAATCAATAACTCAAGCATCATAAGCCAGGAGAAAAGCTATTGTTAGCTAATGATCATGCTCATCATTAATGTTTCGGGAAAAAGGGTAAACACTGGACATGGGACTCACGTCTACGTGCTAACTTGGAGTCATTTGGGGAGCTTCAGTCACTAACATCACAAGCACACTAGCGCCCCCTAGTGTGAGCTCCACCTCTACTAGGTGTTGGGCTTGGTTAGAAATTTTCCATTCAGTTCCCCCGAAATTTAGCCCAAAAGTTCTCATGGTTGTCCCCAGATGTCCTCATGTGCAATGAGACTTGACCTACACTGTATGTCCAAACGTATCCAGACAGTCCTTCTAATGAAATCAGCTGCACCCATTACTGATACAGGTGTTTAATTGGGGTATAATCTCCATAGAAAAGCACTGACATATAGAATGGGACACTTTGGAGCAGCTGCACATGAGCCTAAGGTCACCATGTCCAATGCCAAGTGTGGGCTAGAGGGGTATAAAGCCCCCCAGCATTGGGCTGTGGAGCAGTGGGACTGTGCTGTCTGGAGTGATGGAACTCCATCCAATACCTTTGGGATGAGTTGAAGTGATCCAGAGCTGACCATCCAACATCAGTACCCGACCTTACTCATGCTCAATCAAATCCTCACAGCAATGTTCCAACATCTAGTGTAAAGCCTTCCCAGAAGAGTAGAGGCTGTACAAACTCACTATTAACACTTAATGTCAGAAGAAACGCTGCAGTTCCAGTCTTACTTTTCAGTTCCTGTGGGACAGAATGCTAGTTTCAACAGTTTCTGTTTAGCTAATCACAGGACGCCCACTCCTGTTTCTTTGTCCTCTTTGGGTCTGTATTTTCTTTTTCCTACTTCTACTGAAAAAGCCTCTGGATTCTCTGGCTACATGAGCAGACAGCATGTTTTGCACTCATACTGAAACCAGCAATCATCTGTTTAAAATTTCTGTTTGAGTGAGACTCGTGGGAGGCTGCAGCGTCGAAGCCAAACCTGTTCCTCCAGAATGATCACCACCCTGGAGCTGTTTACCTCATGCTGGGTTTCCTGCCCTCCCCACAAAACATGAAAGGTTTTCAAATGAAAGAATGAAAGGCTTTGTGATCCAGTGGTTCACCCAGAAATCTAATTCATATCATTTTCCCCCTCATAGCAGCAAATATAGACAGAGTTGGTGCTGCTTTACACTCAAAAAATGATGTGTTAAATAACACCACACTTACTTGTGTTACCCATTTAACACTTTTTGTGTGATGTTGTTATCTGATTTAACACATTCTGTGTCAAAATTAACTCGAGATGTGTCGTCTCCAGCTGAGCACACTGATGTGTCTAGTTAGAGCAGGGCTCTAAACTCAACCACTAAAAGGGCCACAATTAAAAACCTCTACAAATCTGTGGGCCAGAGAATGTCTGTGGTTTCATTTGATTGCTAAATAACATTTTTCTATAACCTCAGCTGGCCATTGTTTATCCAAAACACTAACATCAAAATAAAGGCAGTTGTAGTGAATCTTGAAATATTACATAATAAATACTTGAAATATCCAAAAGATTATAAATAAATAATAAAATTATAAATAAATAAATACATAAATAAATAGACAGGCTATGGTATACAACATTATGCCCATTACAATAGGCTATACTACATTACATTAGGCACATTATGCTATAGTGCTGGGGATTGTAGTGCAGCATGTTGTAAAACAGGAATATTAATAGAACAGGAAAATAAATATGTGGGCCAGACAGGATTACGCTACGGGTCTGATCTGGCCCCAGGGCCATGTGTTAGACACATGGGAGTTAGAGAGAGAACACACATGCTTGTAGAATCTAGTTTTGCTCTGGCTAATGTTGCGAACAAACTTTCTGACACTGTATTATATACTGTTTTCTATACAAACTGACAATACGTATGGGCAAAGTTCAGGCTTCAGGCAGGGCTGGGTGGCATATCATTTATTTCAGTATTCTGTGATATTATTTTTCAAGTTTTAGCCATATTCTTAGTAAAATATTTGATCAGTAATTATTAAAAATGGCTATGCATGGTTTTAAAGTGGTGGCCGGGATGGCCAGTACTTTCCCTGAAATCTGATTGGCCACCCCAGATGCCACCCCAAAATTTCATTGACAATGGCATTTCACACGTCATTGTCTTCCCTTGCTGTGGGGCGGGTGTTTGTGCCCTTAAGAGGAAGATTGTTTTGCTGTTGACGATCAGTGGAACAACTGTCAACAACTCTCAACAACCTCTTTCCAACCCTCCCACTACTCCCCCCACCCGCACTGCCACCCTGCCACCCCTTTGCCACTCCAGTAAAAAGTTTCTACATCCTCCACTGGAAACGGCACAATACTATGTTTTCTTTTCCGATACTTCCACTAAAGCAAATTCGGAAAGCAAACACTCTTCTAACCAGTGAAAATGCTTTATTTACTACATAGATGATCTAATAAGCTTCTCAGAGCAGGAGTGCTGATCTAGAATCTGTTCCTATCAGTAAAGTTTGAGTCAGTAAGGGAGGAATCTGATCAGCACTCCTACTCTGAGAAGATTCATGGATACAGATTCTCAACACAAACCAAATTCTTCCAAAAAAGGGCTAAAACTGTATCCTGCGTGACAGAAATACATATATACATATATATACACACACACACACACACACACACACACACACATACACATACCTGTGGCAGCTCAAAGTGCTTTACAGACAGGTGATGGAGTTTAGCAGTAAAAGAAACAATTAAAGAAATGAAATAAATGAAAGTTAATAATATGAGTTTAAAATCACATGAAGCAATAAAATAGACCAAATTTAAAAGATAAACACAGAAAAAGACAGGACTTTATTTAAAAGCTAAATTAAACATATATATGTGTTCAAATGTCTATTAAAAGACATTCAGGCACTTAAAGGTCATTTAGGGCTGAAAAACTAGTAACAAAACGAGCTGAACGGGTTTGTAAAGGATGGATTGTTTTATCCAGTAAGAAGATCATTACAGTGATCAACTCTGCTGGAACAAATGTATCAACAAGTTTCTCTGCGTCGCTCTGAGAGAGAAAAGGCTGAACTTTAGTGATTTTCTCACATGATAAAAAGTTACTTTAGTTAATGTTTACATGAGTCTAAGAAAACACCCAGTTTTCCTACTGCAAGCCTGGTGTATGAAGTTAAAGAGCAGCTTTCTCTGAATTTTAGTACCAGCAATCAGTATTTCATTCTTTTACTGATTTAGTTGTAGAAAATTTTGTACGAAATGTCTGCCACACAGGTGATCATCCTTTCAACAGAGTCTTGATTATCAGAAGGAATGGAAAGGGATAATTGGGTGTCATCAACATGGCTATGTTTAGTAATAACATTACCTAAAGGTAAC